GGTGCCCAGACTTTCGTTACCATGTCTAGAGACAGCCTGCTTTCTAGAATTTTATGAGAAAATGTCTTTGTCAAACGGGTGGTGTTGCTAGCTGGTGCACATTTCTGCACTCATGATGGGTTCTGAAAGCCACACTGCGCTGGTGTGCATCACTGTTGTTATGCAGACCTCATAGTCCCATGTGGCTCAAGCTATACAGGCACATTGTGACCACCTCCATCCTTGTCTGTTGAATGGGGTGAGGGGAGGGACAGTTGCTGAGAGAAACCCTGTGAAGATTTGAGCCACCAGTGGAAGCTGTGCTTTTTGTGGATGTGGCTGGAGCTGTTGGTGCAGCCATTTAAAGGTAACATCAGATGGACCCCCTGATTCCATGCTATGTGAGGGTGATAAGCCTGGTCTCAGTTTGGATGTGAGGGTGATAAACCTACTCCCCGTGGCTGATATGTGAAGTGATAAGCCTGGTCTCAGCGGGGATTTGAGGGTGATAAATCTAGTCTCTGAAAGAGGCCTGACTTTTTAAATGTTATGTTTGTGTGAGATCCATCTTGTTGATGCTTTATTTGTTTTCAACTATTTCCACAAATAAAACTGTTATTGCAGTCTTTAGTGTCTATCTCATTTTGTCCAAGAAGACAGATTGGAGGGGTGAGTCAGGAATACAGAACTTCACATTCTCTGTGGAGCTGGTTGCAGCAGACTTGGGACTTCCCTGAGTTTTCTGTTCATTTTTAAAATCTGTACCAAGGTTATTTAGTTTCTTGAGGCTGTCTCACCATATGAAACCATCTGATTTTCTGTTACATTCCCTAACGACCCACCCTGCATGTTTTCTCTGTTATATTCCTGCAGTTCAGATTTTCTCTGTTACGATCCCACACGACCCACCTTTCATAGTTTTTCTGTTACACGTTTCCTGCAGTTCAGATTTTCTGTTACGATCCCACACGACCCACCCTTCATGTTTTCTCTGTTACATTCCTGCAGTTTAGATTTACTCTGTTATGATTCCAGATGACCCACCCTGCATGTTTTCTCTGTTACATTCCTGCAGTTCAGATTTTCTGTTATGTTTTCTCTGTTACATTCCTGCAGTTAAGATTTTCTGTTATGTCTCCACATGACCCCCTTCATGTTTTCTGTTACATTCCTGCAGTTCAGATTTTCTGTTATGTTCCCACATGACCCACTCTTCATGTTTTCTCTGTTACATTCCTGCAGTTCAGATTTTCTCTCTTACGATCCCACATGACCCACCTTTCAGAGTTACATTTTACCCTTCTGGTTAGCAGACTATCAAATTTCCACCTTATTCCTGAGTGCACCAATGCAGAAACTTCTATCTGAACTGTTCATTTGTAGAGCTACATATGTGGGTGCACAGATTTGTCAACACATGGCAACATCCTCAAAGGGATGGTGGGAAGGGACTGACAACACTGCCCCCAGTTTGTTGTACATAAAACAGATTCACATATGACCATCAGACAACACAGCTCCCAGTTTGTTGTACATAAAACAGATTCACATATGACCAACAGACGACAATGCTCAGTGAAGCCCTGAAATATATTTCTCCACAAAGGACTATACTCTGTGTCAACATTATTTAAAGTATATTTGTCAATGTCATGAGGGGAAACTGCTGGAAGCCACAACAGTGTTTCTAGGGAGGGAGAACACACATTGTAGTGAACTGCCGACATAAAGATATACATAAAAAATGAAATAAAACAACTCCACAATATGGGAAGTAGATTGCAACAATTGTTCCATTATATGTGGGTGCACAAATCTGCAAGAGCCAGTCAGTGAACAAAGCGTGTCCATTGGGTGTAGCTACAACATTTACCTTTTCACTAAAGCTGACCTGCTATAACTCTCTGTGTGGGTGGCATGTGTAGTGAACCAGAAATGTCAGGATGAGATCGGCTTATCCTTTTTCCCACATGGGTAAATCATAAATGTGCAATAAGTTCAAGCCAATCAATGTTAATAAAATAGATAAACAGCGCTACAAGTGAACAAATGAAAATCTGGAAACAAACTAGAAGATATCAAAGGTTGCAAATGTTTGTGCAGATATGTTCTCTGTTGGCATGACCAGGAGGTCTGCATACCTGTCACCAACAGAACAACACACATGTACCGCTCCAGGCTACCTAACTGTGACCAACAAAACATCACACATGTACCGCTCCAGGCTACCTAACTGTCACCAACAGAACAACACACATGTACCGCTCCAGGCTACCTAACTGTGACCAACAAAACATCACACATGTACCGCTCCAGGCTACCTAACTGTCACCAACAGAACATCACACATGTACCGCTCCAGGCTACCTAACTGTCACCAACAGAACATCACACATGTACCGCTCCAGGCTACCTAACTGTCACCAACAGAACATCACACATGTACAGCTCCAGGCTACCTAACTGACCAACAGAACAACACACATGTACCGCTCCAGGCTACCTAACTGTGACCAACAGAACAACACACATGTACCGCTCCAGGCTACCTAACTGTGACCAACAGAACAACACACAGTACCGCTCCAGGCTACCTTACTGTCACCAACAGAACAACACACATGTACCACTCCAGGCTACCTTACTGTCACCAACAGAACAACACACACGTACCGCTCCAGGCTACCTAACTGTCACCAACAGAACAACACACATGTACAGCTCCAGGCTACCTAACTGTGACCAACAGAACAACACACATGTACAGCTCCAGGCTACCTAACTGTGACCAACAGAACATCACACATGTACAGCTCCAGGCTACCTAACTGTGACCAACAGAACAACACACATGTACAGCTCCAGGCTACCTAACTGACCAACAGAACATCACACATGTACAGCTCCAGGCTACCTAACTGTGACCAACAGAACATCACACATGTACAGCTCCAGGCTACCTTACTGTCACCAACAGAACATCACACATGTACCGCTCCAGGCTACCTAACTGTGATCAACAGAACAACACACATGTACAGGTCCAGGCTACCTAACTGACCAACAGAACAACACACATGTACCGCTCCAGGCTACCTAACTGTGACCAACAGAACATCACACATGTACAGCTCCAGGCTACCTAACTGTGACCAACAGAACAACACACATGTACAGCTCCAGGCTACCTAACTGACCAACAGAACATCACACATGTACAGCTCCAGGCTACCTAACTGTGACCAACAGAACATCACACATGTACAGCTCCAGGCTACCTAACTGTGATCAACAGAACATCACACATGTACAGCTCCAGGCTACCTAACTGTCACCAACAAGACACACAGCTCCATTCTAAAAGGTGACGGGTATTTACAATACTAAATGATGCATCCAAAAAGCTCCCCTAATACTGGATGTGCACCAAACAAACATGTAGTGCACACAAATGCACTGATGGTATATTTACACTCAACAAACAAAAAGATAAAAACTGCATTAGACATTTTAACTCTTTGAGTCCTAGGGTGTTTAGCGTCACAGCCCAAGGGGTAGTTAAAAGAGACGTAAAATCGGCACATCTTATGTTCATTGGGCTTCTAGGTAGGAATCTATGAACGTATGATGCGTTCCTTGGGACTCAAAGAGTTAAACAATAAATCAAGAAATACACTGAGCGTTTAAGGTGTCACATCAATGACAATAACTAACTAACCCCACAAACATCAACTATAACCCACAAACATAGCCTTAGAAATGTCAAATATACATGCACAAACATCAACTATAACCCTACAGACATTAACGACAATCGTAGAGACATCAAAATGGCAAAAGCCTGAAATCTCAGCCTGTCAGGAGGTACACTAACACAAGAATGATCACAAAAAGAAATCATTCAGCCATGAAATGTTTGAATATTTGTGAACACCAATTGGTCCACAGTTTTCAGGAAATCCTGTTGGGAGTTTCTTCATAGTCACAATGTATGCCCAGGGGTGAATGGCCATCTTACGGAAAGCAATTCATGATTTCAAACATGCAATGAATAATGATTTCAACTATACATAATAGATCCTCATAAAATGTCCAAACCTGACTGGCAAACCATGTGTCTGTGACCTGACTGGCAAACCATGTGTCTGTGACCTGACTGGCAAACCATGTGTCTGTGAGGTTCAAGTTTGACTCAGGCTGTGACTCCCATTGTAGGAGTGACTCCCATTGTAGGAACAGATCAATAATTCATGTTTAATACAAGATGTGATTACAGTTTTAAGAATAATCAAACAGAAAATAACTTGCTGTCACTAGTAACATTTCCCACCCTTCAAACATGAATCACACACACACACACACATACATACTGCAACATCCATGAAGTGCTCATGCTACAAAAAAGCACTGGGATTTGCGGTGGGGTCTTTTTGGTTGCGGTACCTCATTGCCAGCCATACACCAATGATCTGTCAGAAGAGATAAAAAACACAAATTAGTAAAGGCAAATAACTCATCAGTCCTGAACGATGAAACTGTTATTGTATTATTGCTGAGATACTACTGTAGACACCTTTTTCTCGTTCAAATTTAAACACACACACAAGTGCTCAATTTGCCACGCAGTTCACATTTAAACACACACACACAAGTGCTCAATTTGCCACGCAGTTCGCATTTCTACGCAGCTGAACTCTTTCTACTTGGCTGCACTCTTTCTTTCTATGATTTTCTTACTTCCAGCAGCAACAATTTCGGTCAAAATGGACGCTAGGCACTGCCACTGTTTTGAGTCGTGGCAAACTTTTTGCTTCTGCCAGAGGTGGAAGTTGCATTATTGCTCCATTTGTAGATTGAAACAATATAGTTTTGTCGCCCATCTGCTAAGCTGAGTGCATGGTGCGAACCTGTGAGCTGCAGATTTTATTTGGAATCTTTTTCGACTGTGACCAACGTCATGTTGTGTTGTGAATTGTAGATGCAGAAAATGGGGCGTGGCCTGTCGTCACAATATTGGTGGTGCCCTTATGTCATTAAAATTGATCGCGTGTGCAACTGCTGATTTGTTGGTTACCTCTGCTACCATCGATGATGAACTGCATTTCTAATGTCGGACTGTTTGTGTTAGCACTTCTGATGGCTAGAGTATGCTTTTAATGCATGATATGCTAGTGCATATGCTGAGACTGCAGTATGTAAATCTCTCCACAAGGGACTGTAATGAACATTCTGTGTGATTTTCGTTGGCACAGTAGCGGAGCAACTAAGGGGTGACCCGTTTACTGTGAAGCTGAAACTAACATAACTCCCAACAGCATCTTGTTACCCTAACTTCATGCACCAGTCACAGTCTATGGATGCACATAATGAGACAGGTCACATACACCAGTCACAGTCTATGGATGCACATAATGAGACAGGTCACATACACCAGTCACAGTCTATGGATGCACATAATGAGACAGGTCACATACACCAGTCACAGTCTATGGATGCACATAATGAGACAGGTCACATACACCAGTCACAGTCTATGGATGCACATAATGAGACAGGTCACATACACCAGTCACAGTCTATGGATGCACATAATGAGACAGGTCACATACACCAGTCACAGTCTATGGATGCACATAATGAGACAGGTCACATACACCAGTCACAGTCTATGGATGCACATAATGAGACAGGTCACATACACCAGTCACAGTCTATGGATGCACATAATGAGACAGGTTACATACACCAGTTACAGTCTATGGATGCACATAATGAGACAGGTCACATACACCAGTTACAGTCTATGGATGCACATAATGAGACAGGTCACATACACCAGTCACAGTCTATGGATGCACATAATGAGACAGGTCACATACACCAGTCACAGTCTATGGATGCACATAATGAGACAGGTCACATACACCAGTTACAGTCTATGGATGCACATAATGAGACAGGTCACATACACCAGTCACAGTCTATGGATGCACATAATGAGACAGGTCACATACACCAGTCACAGTCTATGGATGCACATAATGAGACAGGTCACATACACCAGTCACAGTCTATGGATGCACATAATGAGACAGGTCACATACACCAGTCACAGTCTATGGATGCACATAATGAGACAGGTCACATACACCAGTCACAGTCTATGGATGCACATAATGAGACAGGTCACATACACCAGTCACAGGCCAGCTGGAAAATAGAAACAAAAATATCAAGCTACTTCTGCTCAGACAGTCAAGATGTGAACCCATCAGTCAAGATGTGAACCCATCAGTCAAGATGTGAACCCATCAGTCAAGATGTGAACCCATCAGTCAAGATGTGAACCCATCAGTCAAGATGTGAACCCATCAGTCAAGATGTGAACCCATCAGTCAAGATGTGAACCCATCAGTCAAAATGTGAACCCATCAGTCAAGATGTGAACCCATCAGTCATAGGTAACAACAGATGAGACCTTCCCAGATTTCAGAAACTTGTGTCGGAGACAATTGTCTGAGAAACCTGGACAGGACCACTACAGGGACTGTGTGCTCTCTTTTCAAGTTGTGGCCATTCCTCCAGCCACTATAAATGCCACAGAATGGGACCCAATGTGAAGACACTGCAAGGCATGCTGGTTGAGCTCTACTCCAGGTCTAAAGTGACAGTCTATCCCTCTGTTGCCCTTCTGCTCCATGGTACTCAGAGAAACAACTCCAGGTCTAAAGTGACAGTCTATCCCTCTGTTGCCCTTCTGCTCCATGGTACTAACAGAAACAACTCCAGGTCTAAAGTGACAGTCTATCCCTTTGTTGCCCTTCTGCTCCATGGTACTCAGAGAAACAACTCCAGGTCTAAAGTGACAGTCTATCCCTCTGTTGCCCTTCTGCTCCATGGTACTCAGAGAAACAACTCCAGGTCTAAAGTGATAGTCTATCCCTCTGTTGCCCTTCTGCTCCATGGTACTCAGAGAAACAACTCCAGGTCTAAAGTGACAGTCTATCCCTTTGTTGCCCTTCTGCTCCATGGTACTAACAGAAACAACTCCAGGTCTAAAGTGACAGTCTATCCCTCTGTTGCCCTTCTGCTCCATGGTACTAACAGAAACAACTCCAGGTCTAAAGTGACAGTCTATCCCTTTGTTGCCCTTCTGCTCCATGGTACTCAGAGAAACAACTCCAGGTCTAAAGTGATAGTCTATCCCTTTGTTGCCCTTCTGCTCCATGGTACTCAGAGAAACAACTCTAGGTCTAAAGTGACAGTCTATCCCTCTGTTGCCCTTCTGCTCCATGGTACTCAGAGAAACAACTCTAGGTCTAAAGTGACAGTCTATCCCTCTGTTGCCCTTCTGCTCCATGGTACTCAGAGAAACAACTCTAGGTCTAAAGTGACAGTCTATCCCTCTGTTGCCCTTCTGCTCCATGGTACTCAGAGAAACAACTCTAGGTCTAAAGTGACAGTCTATCCCTCTGTTGCCCTTCTGCTCCATGGTACTCAGAGAAACAACTCCAGGTCTAAAGTGACAGTCTATCCCTCTGTTGCCCTTCTGCTCCATGGTACTCAGAGAAACAACTCCAGGTCTAAAGTGACAGTCTATCCCTCTGTTGCCCTTCTGCTCCATGGTACTCAGAGAAACAACTCCAGGTCTAAAGTGACAGTCTATCCCTCTGTTGCCCTTCTGCTCCATGGTACTCAGAGAAACAACTCCAGGTCTAAAGTGACAGTCTATCCCTCTGTTGCCCTTCTGCTCCATGGTACTCAGAGAAACAACTCCAGGTCTAAAGTGACAGTCTATCCCTCTGTTGCCCTTCTGCTCCATGGTACTAACAGAAACAACTCCAGGTCTAAAGTGACAGTCTATCCCTCTGTTGCCCTTCTGCTCCATGGTACTAACAGAAACAACTCCAGGTCTAAAGTGACTCCCTCTGTTTGCCCTTCTGCTCCATGGTACTAACAGAAACAACTCCAGGTCTAAAGTGACAGTCTATCCCTCTGTTGCCCTTCTGCTCCATGGTACTAACAGAAACAACTCCAGGTCTAAAGTGACAGTCTATCCCTTTGTTGCCCTTCTGCTCCATGGTACTCAGAGAAACAACTCTAGGTCTAAAGTGACAGTCTATCCCTCTGTTGCCCTTCTGCTCCATGGTACTAACAGAAACAACTCCAGGTCTAAAGTGACAGTCTATCCCTCTGTTGCCCTTCTGATCCATGGTACTCAGAGAAACAACTCCAGGTCTAAAGTGACAGTCTATCCCTCTGTTGCCCTTCTGCTCCATGGTACTAACAGAAACAACTCCAGGTCTAAAGTGGCAGTCTATCCCTCTGTTGCCCTTCTGCTCCATGGTACTAACAGAAACAACTCCAGGTCTAAAGTGACAGTCTATCCCTTTGTTGCCCTTCTGCTCCATGGTACTCAGAGAAACAACTCTAGGTCTAAAGTGACAGTCTATCCCTCTGTTGCCCTTCTGCTCCATGGTACTCAGAGAAACAACTCCAGGTCTAAAGTGACAGTCTATCCCTCTGTTGCCCTTCTGCTCCATGGTACTCAGAGAAACAACTCTAGGTCTAAAGTGACAGTCTATCCCTCTGTTGCCCTTCTGCTCCATGGTACTAACAGAAACAACACTAGGTGGTTGCCTACATGTAACAGATCAATGTGGTGACCCACAAAGGATACAACCTGTGGGGACATAGAATATAAACATGTCTACTCAAGATTTACCACAATCTGTCAGATATGCTCGGGAAAAGGTTTAATCATTCTGTGGCCACAATCCCCTGACTGAGAGCAAAAAATATATAGAAGACAGTCACTCAATTTTGTGCTACCAGAAAAACAATAAGCTTGGAACCAGAAACATCTGAAACCACCATTGCCAAGAACAGGAAGAAATCGATAATTTAAAAGGCCAAATCTTGAAACTGCCAGCCGCGAATAAACAGCAACAATCCAGTAATATCATCACTACCTGACAGGTTGACATGAGCACACATGAAACAGGTTAAGATCAAAGGTCGGAACTGGGTTTTTCTGGTTCCGGTAATGAACGGTCACCCAGACAAGTAAGAGGGAGGCTTGACCATGTCCAGTGGGGGGGGGGGGGGGGGGGGGGGGGGGGGGGGGGGGGGGGGGGGGGGGGGGGGGGGGGGGGGGGGGGGGGGGGGGGGGGGGGGGGGGGGGGGGGGGGGGGGGGGGGGGGGGGGGAGCAAAGAAAAATGTGCATCTATAATTTCTTTTCTTTTTTGTGTAAAGAAGACAGAAAGGATATCCTGGTGAATGCAAACATTGTTCAGTGTGTCTCAAACTGTGCTTAGATGTGGTGATATTGTTCAGTGTGTCTCAAACTGTGCTTAGATGTGGTGATATTGTTCAGTGTGTCTCAAATTGTGCTAGATGTAGTGATACTGTTCAGTGTGTCTCAAACTGTGCTAAGATGTAATATGTTCAGTGTGTCTCAAACTGTGCTTAGATGTGGTGATACTATTAAATGTGTCTCAAACTGTGCTATGATGTGGTGATATTGTTCAGTGTGTCTCAAACTGTGCTAAAATGTGGTGATACTGTTCAGTGTGTCTCAAACTGTGCTAAGACGTAATATGTTCAGTGTGTCTCAAACTGTGCTTAGATGTGGTGATATTGTTCAGTGTGCCTCAAACTGTGCTTAGATGTGGTGATATTTTTCAGTGTGTCTCAAACTGTGCTTAGATGTGGTGATATTGTTCAGTGTGTCTCAAACTGTGCTAAGATGTGGTGATACTGTTCAGTGTGTCTCAAACTGTGCTAAGACGTAATATGTTCAGTGTGTCTCAAAGTGTGCCAAGATGTGGTGACATTGTTCAGAGTTTCAAAGTGTGCCAAGATGTGGTGACATTGTTCAGTGTGTCTCAAACTGTGCTAAGATGTAATATGTTCAGTGTGTCTCAAAGTGTGCCAAGTTGTGATGGCACTGTTTAATGTCTCAAAGTGTGCCAAGATGTGATATTGTTCAATGTGTCTCAAACTGTACTAAGATCTGTTGACATTGTTCAGTGTGTCTTAAACTGTGCCTAGATGTGGTGACATTGTTCAGTGTGTCTCAAACAGTGCCCAGATGTGGTGATATTAGGAACCACCCAATCAGAGGCAGACACTTCACAGCCACCTCAAAGCAACATCCGTTGCTCCATGGCTTGCCCATGAGAGAACCCTACAATGTCAGAACTCACCTCAGTGAAACTAAAGAACAGTCCCACACCACCAGTGACAGTGAAAGCGTTGTAGATAACTGGTCGCAGGACGTCCAGGCATGTTTGACATGGACAACTACCACTAGGATCTGTCTTATTTCCGCTGCAGCAAAAGAACTTTTGGCCTTTACAACACTGGGTGTCCTGTCAAAACAAAATGACACATTCAAAACATTTATTAGCAACATCCTGAAGGTAAACATGTGTATGCCCTTCCGTCAACAACATATGGTAAACAAATAAACACAACATAATTACCACTTATGATGAATACCGTTACTGTCACACAGACAGCTACTATTTATGCATTGACAAGGTTACAACAACCGAATGACACTGTTTCTGCACTGATAAGGTTATGACAATTGACTGACACTGTTTCTGCACTGATAAAGTTGCAACAACCGACTGACACTGTTTCTGCACTGATAAGGTTCTTTCTCTATCTCTTCCTCTCTCAATATTTAGATTTATCTCTGTTTCTAGTGTGTAGCGATATTTTACACTCATCTAATTGTGATAGCAAGCAACTCTCACAAGTGGCAAACTCTCACAAGTGGCAGGCAACTCCAACAATTAACACAACCTCTAGGAATCACTGAAATGAGAACAGACTTACAGAAACACATGGTGGATGTCCAAGTGTGTCGTTCTGTGTTAGTTCTTGATGTCTAAAGCCACAGCATTCAAACTGGTGCTGCACCTCCGATCGTGTGTTGTTGCTGGACATCTTCCAGCCATGCTCAGCCAGTGTCTCCTTCTGACCCACATTGACCGCCAGGCAGGCACAAGCCAGCGAAAACTGCAGCAGGAACACCAGAAACAGGATGATCATGTACTGAGAGGTGGTGTTCAGGAAGAGGTCAACATGTATGGTTCAAATCCTTATCTATGCTTCCACCTGCTCAGTGTACACTTTTCTCAAACACAGACTGACATTATAAGATGTAGACTCAAGACAGAAAGATCAACAGCAGATTTGTGGAATCAAGACAGAAAGAGCACCAGCAGATTTGTGGACTCAAGGCAGAAAGATCAACAGCAGATTTGTGGACTCAAGACAGAAAGATCAACAGCAGATTTGTAGACTCAAGACAGAAAGATCAACAGCAGATTTGTGGACTCAAGACAGAAAGTTCAACAGCAGATTTGTGGACTCAAGACAGAAATATCAACAGCAGATTTGTGGATTCAAGACAGAAAGATCAACAGCAGATTTGTGGACTCAAGGCAGAAAGATCAACAGCAGATTTGTGGACTCAAGGCAGAAAGATCAACAGCAGATTTGTGGATTCAAGACAGAAAGATCAACAGCAGATTTGTGGACTCAAGGCAGAAAGATCAACAGCAGATTTGTGGACTTCATGAAGGAGTTAGAGAAGACCATTCAGATGTAGGAGCTCACATGATGAAACTAGGCAAAGGAAAGAAGAAGAAGACATGCTGAAGCTAATATTGTAACACGCAATGCCATTTAAAGAAGGGGGGGAGGGAAAAGGGAATTACAGTTTGCCATTAAGTTTATTGTTGCGCTCTGTCATCTCTCTCTCTCTCTCTCTCTCACACACACACACACCTCCCCCCCCCTTTCCCCCCACCCACAAAATAACCAACTAACAGGGAGAGGTATAATTAAAAAAAAACATGCATCTTTGTACTTTGAACAACGAAGAGTAGGGAAAATGATTGTTTGCGTCTGTGGGTGATGGCGTCTGCAGCTCAGCATTCGTGTATCTGGTGTGTGATGGCATCTGCAGCACCGATGGTGTGTGATGGCATCTGTGGCACCGCTGGTGTGTGATGGCATCTGTGGCACCGATGGTGTGTGATGGCATCTGTGGCACCGATGGTGTGTGATGGCATCTGCAGCACCGATGGTGTGTGATGGCATCTGCAGCACCGATGGTGTGTGATGGCGTCTTACCAGCTGCACGCCCTAGTTTGTTTTATAAGGCTTTTGTTAAAAACATCCACTCCTCCCTACTCTTTTATCTTCTCTCTCTCTCTTTCTCACATTCAATCTCTCTTGTTCTCTCTCTCTCTCTCTGCACAACTTGGTGGAATACTGATATATGATAAGACAGACGTGGTTTTAGTGCCTTGTGGGAGAGCGTGTACAGTTCAGAGGAGCAGATGGATCACCAGTTTGGTGGGAGTGATGCAGGAGGGAGTAACAAGAGGTTCTGGCAAATGCTTGAATCTCAGAAAAAAGGTAACACAGATGTTTAATCAGAATTCTACTGGCACCATTAGTATCAGAACTTTTCGCTGGCTGCTGAAGATGGGGACGGAGCGCTTATGGAAATGCCCATAGTGCTGTGATGTCAGTTCTGGAATCAAATCAAATTAGTATGTGTGTGTGTGCATGCATGTGTGTGTGCCTGCATGTGTGTGTGCAGAAGCATATGTGCACATGGATGAAAGGAACAGCTGTACCCATGACCACAGCTCTTCAGCAGTCTGCTTTTATCATTTAAAAAACATCAACAAAACCCAGAAACAATACAGCCACATTATTGTTGACGTCTGCCAAAGGATACAAAAAACAGCAGCACCTGGTTGTGTTTGAGGGCTCCCAGCAGGCCTACCAGGGCGATGAGAAACAGAAACACTCCACAAGCAATCAGACTGCCCACCAGTGTCAAGCTGGTGATCACAGCCGCCACTCGGCCGTAGGCAGCCACGCCAATCAGGATGAAAGAAACCACCTACATCACAAACATCATAATGTGAGAAGTCAGCATTTCATTCTGTTCTACTTATATTACAAACATCCACATGTGAGAAGTCAGCTCTCGCTCGCTCAACCGCCCGATCAGCCACGTGTGACTCTCGTTCGCTCGCTAACTACCCATTCGTAGCCTGATTATCGATAGCTAGATACTGGTCATACTCGCTTGATATTCGGCTGAGTGTGGCTCGACTACGCTATCGGTGTCGTCTGCGTTTGGGTCATTAGCAGCCCGTGAGCACATCATTTGTTGGGGAGCCAGTTGTAACATCCAGTTGTTGAACGATTGCCTCGTGAACTGTGGAGAAAAGCACGCTCGGTGACCTTTTCAGAACACTCAACGAGCCTTGCCAGACTCTGCAGGGAGCGAGCTTTCGGTAGACACCTGATAGGTACCGCCTATTCATCTGCCAGACAAAATGGGCAAAGCCAAGAAACCAGCGAAGGCGGCCTCATCAAGGAAGCCAGACCCGGCAGTACCAGAAACCGCAGCCAAAGACGACCAGAACCAGGAGATGACCACCCCAAGACCGGTCAGCCCGACTCCAGAAGTCAATGCCACAGCGGACACTGCCAGTACCTCTGAAGCCGAGAATCCGACCCAGCCGCCAACAACTAGTGCCACCGACGCTCCAGCGGCCCAGCCAGTCATAAGGCCACTGTTGCTCTCAAGCATGCAAGGGAGGACTCAGCAGCAGGGTAACTACTCGTCAGATATCCTACAGTGCGCTCGCTGTAATAGGGCGTGGCACACTGCCGCGACCTGTCGTAGTGGGCCCATTTGTCGTTACTGTGCAGGGACGCATGATTTCAAAGAGTGCCCCCTAGCCAAGACCGACCAGGACTTCAGGAAGCCTAATACAAACAGAAGATGCTCCAATTGTTCAGAACCACACAGCGCCAGATACCAAGGCTGCCCCTACCTGAAGGACTGTAAAAAGCGACCCACTAAGCCAAGTACGAAACAACTGTCCGAAATCCGGAATGAAATCTGCCCGATCAACAGGCAGAAAGTAAACAGAGATGAAGCTACCTCGGACAGAATCGAGATACTAGGCCTCATCTCCCAAACAATGGACGAACTAAAAGCACAGAGGGCAGACAAGCAAGCAGAAGCGGCCCAGAACACCAGACTACTGGCTGATATAACAGAGGCGACTATAAAAATGCAAGACCTATTAGAGCAGCTAAAAACAGCACGAGTCCAGGAGGTAGCTCGGCGTCAAGCAGAAAGAGAGGAACATCAGAGAGAGATGGCTGCCCTCAAAGAAGCCCGTGAAACAACGTACCAAAAAAATCACCCAGCTGCTAGAGGTGAAAGCTGAAGCAGACGCTGCAATGATAGCAGTCAATATGGAGAAAACCCGGCAGAGAGAGAAGGTGGAACAGGAGTCAAGTATGAAAGAGGTCCTGAAGGAAGCAGTGAGCGACATAAAAAAACTCATTGAAGCCAAGCAAGACCCGACAGAGGTGGAAGAACAAGAAACTGAACCAGAATCTGAACCGGACTACTTTCAAGGGGATGCAGAAGAGGAAGAATACGCAAACCGAACCTTTGAAATGCCGGCCTTCGTCCACCACGACAAAATAACCCAGGCATACATCGATGAATTGGTGAGATGTATGAATGAGCTGATAGCTCCAAGCAGAGGAGAGTGGGCCGGCTCCGCCGGATGGAAGCTCCTCCACTACGACCCGGAGAATGATTTCAACGCACCAAACGTGGCATACCGGCACCTCTACGAAAGACACAAGGAGTACGAAAGCAGGCTTCTCAAAGAAATGCTTAGAGCCCACCAAATCATCTGCACGAGAGCCACGCCCAATCAGGTAGTGAACCAGCCTAACTACAAACAGAGGAAACAGCGAAAACAATGACACGATCCCACCACCTACCTGACAAGACCCAAAACCAAGCAGAAACCAACAACCAATCAGAACAAGCCAAGCCGCCATGACAGCCCACCAAACCAGCTCACCGGCACCCCACAGCTCGCTACCAGCCAGGCATGATGTCAATCGCCGAACCCAATCCCTCCCACCTGTTCGAGGCCGCCCCGGCACACTCTGTTAGTCCTTCTCAGGACTAGCAGGAATCCACTCCCCAACAATGTTGCAGAAAACCAGCAGGCGTGAGCACACGTCACCAACTAAAATCAAAACCGCTCAGAAAGGAAGACGCAAATAAAGCAAAGTCCCAGTGACACGGTGAAGCGTCAGATTTTTTACTTTTTTTTTATTTTCAACGCAACACAACGCATGTGAGAAGTCAGTATTTCATTCTGTTCTACTTAAATTACAAACATAATAATGTGAGAAGTCAGCATTTCATTCTGTTCTACTTAAATTACAAACATCATAATGTGAGAAGTCAGCATTTCATTCTGTTCTACTTACATTACACACATCCACGTGTGAGAAGTTAGCATTTCATTCTGTTCTACTTACATTACAAACATCATAATGTGAGAAGTCAGCATTTCATTCTGTTCTACTTACATTACACACATCCACGTGTGAGAAGTTAGCATTTCATTCTGTTCTACTTACATTACAAACATCATAATGTGAGAAGTCAGCATTTCATTCTGTTCTACTTAAATTACACACATCTACATGTGAGAAGTCAGCATTTCATTCTGTTCTACTTACATTACACACATCTACATATGAGAAGTCAGCATTTCATTCTGTTCTACTTACATTCATATCCACATAAATAAACAGAGGCCATATAGAAATTACATTTAATGAACAAACAGACAAGGTATTGATCGGCACTCATACAAAGAAGCAGGAAGATAGAAGGATACACTCTTCTTCTTCTGCCTTTCTAGCCCCCAATGGCGAATAGGCCCTCAACCAACTTATGCCAAGCCGTTCTATCCTTCGCTATCGCATGTAACTTTGCGCTCTAGTTCCCTCCATGTTTTTGGGGGTCTTTATTTCTATGCCCCTGTGGGTTCCAGTGCAAAGACATTCAAGATATATTGTTCTCAGGTTTTCTCAACTTTTCATTCTAAAGCTAGTGTATTTTCTTCCCCTCCTGGTCCACCGAACTTGTTTAAGTCTTCCCCAAAGCTTCATATTAATGATTCTATCATACCATTTAATTCCCTTTTTTCTGCGCAGGCATCAATGAATGTAGTTTATTTATTATTAACTGCCTTAGTTGTTCTCCATGTTTCGGTTCCAAACAACAGTATTGATTTGACATTAGAATTAACATTTTTTAGTTTAGTAATTTTTTAAATTTCTTTCAACCTATTCAAATTCCCTAGTGCTATAAAAGCTCTTCTTGCCGTTTGTATTTGTATTTTAATATTTCTATAAGTTCCCCCATCTTTACCTACATTACAGTCTAAATAAGTTTTTGCAGTGGGATACATTAAGAAAAACCACATTATTTTTTGCCTTATTTATTCTCATCATCTGTCCCACCATTGTTTTTATTTTATATGTATCTGTAAGCTTTCCCTCATGAAGAGCTGAATATTTTCATTGCATTTACTAGTTAATAATTTTCTGTGGGATTCCATAGTGCCCCAAAAATTTCCAGAAAGATTCCCTACCAACGATGTCAAAAGCTTTTTCAGAGTCTATGAATCCAATGTAAAGTGGTGAATTCAATTCAATGCACTGCTACATTATTATATGTTATGTGGCTATCTGGACAGTACAGGTTTTTTTTGGGCCAAAAACCTGCTTATTCATCTCTTAGCGTTTTATCCGGAGCATCTTTCAGTCGTTCAAAAATAATCCTACTAAATATTTTTCCGGGACCTGACAGCAACATAATTTCTCAATAGTTCTCATACTCCTGTAGATCACCTTTTCTGGAAAGTTTTACAAGATATCCTTCTTTCCAGTCTGCTGGTATATTTCTTGGTCTCCCAGACTTTTCTAAATAATTTATGTAGCAATTCTGTTGATGTTTTATATTAGCCTTAATAGTTTTTGCTTGGATACCATGTGGACCTGCCACCTCTCTTTCTTTCAGAAGATTTATAGCTTTTCTAAATTTTGTTTAGATGGTATCTTACAGTCGATATCCACTTCCATTTCTAAAGGCTGGATATCTGGAGGAACCTGTAGGGCAGGTCTGTTTAGAGGTATTTCAAAACATTCAGCCTATCTGACCATTTGCTCTTTAGTGTTGGTGAGTACCTTTCCTTGATTATTTTTTATTGATCCATTTGGCTGACTATATTTACCTACTAATTTCCATGTGTTACTGTTAAGGTCTCTGAGGTTAACTTCTGCTGCTGCTGTCTCCGCTTCTTTTGCTAGGTCGTCTAAATATTTAACGTTATCTGCCCTTATTTACCTCCTAACTTCCTCATTAGCTTCTGTGTATTTTTCCTGAGCTCTAGCTTTAGCAGCTCTAGTTTTGCTATTGTTTAGGTCTGTTTGTTTTTTACTTTAACTTTCTTCAATCATTTTGATGGTTTCTGCTGTTATCCATGCTTTATGTTTCTTTCTTTCTTTCCAACGAGTTCTACACAAGATTCGTTTCAGATTCCTTTGATCTGATCCCAGCAGACTTCAGTGCTGACATCTTCAACCAACTGCTGCAACACCTGGTACTTATTAGAGACTGTCAGAGAACATAACAATCAAAAGCTACAGTTACCATGCAGGATTCCCATCATTGTTAACTACAGTAGTTTATGTTGTCTAGTGTGTCCTTCTATCTTTCTACTTCTTTCTACGAGTGCTTTCATCCAACATTTTATTCCATTCTACACACATCCAAGATTTCATTCCATTCTTCTTATATCCAACATTTAATTCTATTCTACTTTCCTCCAGCATTTTATTTCATTCTACTTACACCCAATATTTCAGTCTTAACCACAAGTAAACGTCTTTTGTGGCAAAAGATGGCCTGTCAGCTTTTTCAACCTGATTGTTGGGGCAAATGAGTTCTGACTATAACAAATAATGCTTCACAATAACTGCTACTGCCAGAAGTACCTTGTGGCTGTGTTATCTTAGTTGTGTGTTTGTAAGACGATATCACAGACTTTGTTGAAGTTTCACTGTATAAATTACAGAAACAATCTTGCCATGACAACCAACAGTCAGTCCACACCCAGCAACTCACCACACGTTGACTGGCTACAATCAAACACAGACCCTGACTCAGTCTAACCCTAACCCAAACCCTAACCCTACCCCTAATTATGTCATTTGTTTCGTTCCCTCTTTTCCATTCCGTAATTGCACTGCAGCCAGGGGACTGAACTCCGACGAAGCGTCCGTCGCCGTCCAACTAGTGACCGTTATTGCCCAATTTTCGTTATTTGAAGCCCTACTCTAGCTCTTGCCAGGTGCCACAATGTAGCCCGGCCATAAATATGGTCTAATGGCTGAACGCAGTTTCTGGGACCTCTCCACGGGTGATCCTCATCCACACGGTGGCACTTTGTCACGTGTCATCGGGTGTTTATCGCTTGTCTGATGACGATGACCTGGTGGGGTAAAAATAGACAGATAGATCTCTGCGTGTTACTGTCCTACTTGTATCACTACCTACCTCCAGCCTTTCACTTGTTTTTTTTATATGTGTATGAATGTTCCCTGAATATTTCATATTTATATTATAATGAATATATATATATATATATATAAAGTGAAAATATTAATAATTAATTATTATAATTAATAGTCTGTTTGTTTTAAAACTTACGACATAAAGAATGTTTAACAGCACAAGAGAGCGGCGGGAACAAGTAAATCCACCGCAAACCATTATGTTGTTTGCAATCTGGGCGACTCTAGTCTGGCGGGAAGGCGACGTTGACAGGAGCAGCTTCAGTCAGCAAGTGTGAGCCGTCCGGTCGACCATGACAGCAGCAGCAGCAGCAGCTGGGGTGAGTGGGGTCACGGGCACACGGAGCTGGCTGACATCTTGCCACCGCCGCCTGACGTACACACATCTTCATTCTTGAGTCACAGGCTAGCTACAACATTCTGTCCACTACATCAAAATCCACCCACACTGGACTACAGCTTGTTCCCTAACCTACATCACAATCCACCCACACTGGACTACAGCTTGTTCCCTAACCTACATCACAATCCACCCACACTGGACTACAGCTTGTTCCCTAACCTACATCACAATCCACCCACACTGGACTACAGCTTGTTCCCTAACCTACATCACAATCCACCCACACTGGACTACAGCTTGTTCCCTAACCTACATCACAATCCACCCACACTGGACTACAGCTTGTTCCCTAACTGTTTTATGCTGCCCAAATAAAACCAGACTGTACGGCTTTAGCGAGTGGCAGAGGTAAAGCTGTTAGATGCTCGCCTGCGGTTCCGAAAGTCATGGGTTCGGGTCCTAGCGGAGCCAGACTGTTTTTTTCTTTCAAAAAATGACCTAGGCTTCCAGGTAGAATCAGCCTTAAACGGGTACCAGGTAAAGTTCTGGGACGTAAAGGTGGCCGCGTGATGCTGACCACATCACACACCAAGTGCCGAATGATCTATAATATATATATATATATATATATATATATATATATATATATATATATATATATATATATATATATATATATATATATATCCAAAACTATGCTCCAACTACCGTACCATCACATTAATAAGTCATGTTAGCAAAATCCTCTTACGAATTATCATGAAAAGGATTGAAAATGACAAGAAATTACAATATGAACTAGATGAAGCACAAGCGGGTTTCATACAGGGTAGAGGAACTAGGGATCACATATTTAATATGAGAATAATTTTTGAAAAATGCAGAGAATACAATTTAGATCTTCATGCTTGTTTTATTGATTATAGCAAGGCATTTGATTGTGTCCAGCACCACCAACTATGGGGTTTCCAGCGCAGTTAGTGCATTTAATTGAAAATATATTTCATGAACAACAAGCAGCCATCAGAGCAGCTGGTGAAACATCTGATTGGTTCGAGGTGCAAAAGGGGGTGAGGCAATGGTGCATTCTCTCACCATACCTATTCAATATATACGCAGAAAATAAAGGAGAAATGTCAAAAATGACCAGACTTGTGACAGTTATGATCCGCTCAAAATTGGTGGCAACCCTATTCCGGAACTCCGCTACGCAGATGACACAGTCCTCCCTTCGAACAGCGTAAAGGGAATAGAAAATTTAGTATTGTCCGTTCAAAAGCACAGTGAAGATCAAAATCTGTTCTTGAATTTAAAGAAAACGAAAATAATGTCCACAGATAAAACTGACTGTCACCCACAAATAACAATAAATTATAAAGAAATTGAAAATGTCACAAACTTTTTGTATCTAGGCTCCATAATAACAATGGAGACTGTTCGACGGAAATTAAAAGGAGGATGGCCATAGCAATGCAAAGATTAAACAGCCTTAAAAGTCTATGGTTAAGCACCAGCAAGGAGATAAAAATTAGAATTTTGAGAGCATGCATCTTCCCTGTGGCTACATACGGATGTGAGTCGTGGACTATCTCTCAGTCCTTAAGAAAGAGAATAAGGGGCTTTAGAGCTGAAATGCTATAGAAAGATTTCTCAGAATATTTTGGACAAAGAAGATGAGAAATATTGACATCTTAAAAGATCTGAACTTCAAGGAAGATTGGCTAATAAACAGCATCCTTTCTCGAAAGCTGAAATATTTTGGTCATAACAAGCGCCACGACGGTTTGGAAAAAAATATAGCAGAAGGCATGGTACCAGGAAGGAGGAGCAGAGGCCGACCGACACGAAGATGGGCACAGGATATGACTCCTTGAGTGTGAAAGTTCATGAGGCGGGAGAACTGGCAAGAGACCGAGTTTCTTACAGGCAGACTGTGATGAGAGCGACGTTCTGCAAAGGACCTACTACATGATATATATATATATATATATATATATATATATATATATATATATATATATATATATATATATATATATATATATATATATATATATCAGTCTCAGAGGAAAGGCAAGACGGACTTTTAACCAGATTGTAACCGGTACCATCAGTACTGGAACTCTGCGCTGGCTGCTGAATATGAGAACGGAGCACGCGTGGGAATGCCCCGAGTGCTGTGATGTCAATTATTGACTCAACTGTATCAAATATAGCTCTATCATGCCCAATGTGCCCGAAGGCGTGGAAGAGAGTCCTTTGTTGAGATGGCTATACGGTTGAAATGAGTTTCCGAGATTTGTCATCAACATCATCATCAAGTCCCTTGCCGACTGTCGTGGGTGATCATGCCTCTCCACAATCTTCGATCTGCAACTGTGTCTCATTTCGCGTGTTGACATCCCTCCAAGCCATGACTCTCCACAAATCTGTCTAGTGGCCCCACCATGTTCACAACGAGATTTGTACCTGCTTGACTGACATCCTTGAGATATTATCCCACATTCTGCAGCATGGGTGGAAAAGGCGACAACGTATCCAGAGAGATCATTTGTATTTCAGTGTAATTAGTTCATTTTGTGTGCTTCATTATATACAGTAACGGACCTGGCGAGTTCCAGCCCCCCCCCCCCCCCCCCCCCCCAACCCGCCTTTTACCCACCCACATACACACATGACAGACAGGGCCCCTGACTTGGCTGGTAGGGGTTCGATTCAGTTAGTGGTGTCTTTCTAAGTCATGCTCTACATTTAAACATGTCATCAGGCAAGTGGGCAGCAATAGATTGTTACAAGTGTGTACGAAAGGTGGCCGCAAAACAAATATCCATCTTTGGTCAGAGAGCAGAAGATGATAGTACCTGTTGGTTTTAGTCTGAGACAAGATGGATCGACAGAACAGAGATAGACATACGCTGGATGGGCATAAAACAGAGGTGGCTACACGGGGGATAGACAAATAGTAGAGGTGGACACATGCGGGACAGACAGAGAATAGAGGTGCCACACGCTGGATGGTCAGGTCTTGGTCAGATATAACTGAGCTGCCGTATAACAGTAGCAGGTACCACCTGTCTTTTGTAACGCCGAATGTTGGGCGGTGTATACTAAACCTGACATCTCATATTGTGCCAACGTATTCGGGCAGAGGACGCATTGGGGAGGATACTAGCCTTATCCTAAGAAGAGGAATTGCAACCTGAAAACTTTATGTTGTTAAGGCAGGGCAGACCAGGCCCTTCGCATTGGCTAGCAGCTGGTTTAGGAGAAAAGCTCCGACAGGCGGACAGATAGAGCACTGCTCTCCCTTATCCGGAAGTTTCTGCAGCTTGCTTTGTTCCAAACGTGTTACCTTTCCTTTGGAGTCAACAAGGCAGGTCGAGGAAGGGATCATGATGCATTGGCAACAAATAGTCTCTACAATACTATTCAGGCTTTGAGCTATACATAAGATTTGCCATCATTGTGGAAGACTTTTCTTTACACGGGCGGGTCTTGCTAGTTACTTCTCGCCGTCGCCATGGGCTGTGAGCCCCATGCCTCCTCATAGCGCAATATAACACTATCGTCTGGAAAGATGAAAAGGTGTCAATCAAGGTAGATAAAGAGTAGATGTGGACACATGCGGGATAGAGAATAGAGACGGACACATACGGGATTGACAGACAATAGAGGTAGACACATGCAAGATAGAGAATAGAGGGGAAACATGCGGGATGGAGAATAGAGGTGGACACATGCGGAATGGACAGACAATTGAGGTAGACACATGCAGGATAAAAGAAATGTAAAGGTGGCCACGTGCGGAATAGACGGAGAGTAGAGGTGGCCACACGCGGGATAGATGGCGTATAGCGGCTGACACACGATGTATGGGCAGAGTAAATATAGGCATACGATGGATAGACAACCCAGGCTAGACTACAGGCTACTTGAATATCGGGTGCCTTAAGATACCTGTTATCGGGTTAAACACTGTTTTAGGGATTTGTGGGGCTAGTCAACAGTCAAACTACTAGACGAAAATTTGCCTAGAAAAACCACACAACAGCCAGGAGCTGTTGGGGTTGATTCTGCAAAGTCCTGTAAAGGATACGCAACTAACCTTTAAGGACTTTGTACATGTTTGATTGACATTTTTGAAGTGTTAATCATACAGACTGCAATCCAGGAAGAGAATATCATGGGAAGATATAAAACCGAAAAACAAGCAGACCATCGAGCTTTTCAATATAACAAACACAAGCAAACTGTGAACATTGTGGTCGTAGAGTCTACATCAGCACATGCATAAATCAAATAAAACCACACGAAAAAAAATAAATCACGTAACCGAGTATCCAAAAACAGCCACATTCACGTCTTGCCAGTGAAATGTGAAGAAAATGCAGGGCCCGAGAAATAAATAGCCGTGGAATGATAGAGGCCGTAACTCGAGAATTTCTCCTAGAAGAGGAAGAATTACATACTATACCTGTTACATGATTAGGCCGACATTTTAGCCTTCAATTCAGCATTCGCTTCCTCCTGGATCCATTGATAGCTAAATTGAAGACAGCTAGAAATAGTCAGGCTTGGCAAACTGTGCAGACTCTCCTGTATTAGCAGGGCTCATACGGGGATGCAAAGAGCAGGAAAACCAGTGGGTGGCGATCCAAGGTTTGAAGACCACTGTAATAGATCCATCTGCAGAAAGCATTGGTTTAGTTTCGTACACGACAAAGGTCAAGGTGGAGAAGTTCACGACCCCGGAGACGTCTGCCTGGTGGAGGAGACAAACACAAGATGACAGGGCTTCATCTTCTCGACGTTTTCTACCATCAGCTCTGACGAACTTCAGTGAAACAAACATGATTGCAGGAGATAACAACACGAAGACAGGAAAGTCAGCGGATTTCACCGTCACACCGGTGCAACACATGATTTCAGCATGTACCGGGGCTATCCTTACGTCGCTAATGAGTTGAGTGTTTGGCTCTTCTTTCAATACTGGACGCGGGCTGGACGGCTTAGTTCAGTTTAGTGGGAGTTCTCTCCCTTGGCCGGACTGCAAACAGTGAGCGGAAAAGTCACGAAACAAATGACATACTTACCTATCATCATACGGTTGCGTGTAGGGTTGCGTACGGTTGCGTGTAGGGTTGCGTAGTCTTCATACGGTTGCGTGAAGGGTTGCGTAGTCATAATACGGATGCGTGACGGGTTGCGTAGGGCTAGGGTTAGATGTGAAAATGTTGACGTAGGAGTTCCAAATACTGGCCGACAATCTGATGCTTGTGAGAGTGGCGCCACTGAAATTCTGCCAACTATGACACGAATAGCGCGTGGCTGGTGCCCAATCGTTGGCGAATTGTCCGTTTGACTAGCATCCACAGGCCTTCGATTGCTTGTGTGTGTATGTGACTGTGCGCGACGTCGACGAAGTTGGTCTGGTGGACTACTACCTCGTGCAGATAGATGCCATGCGGTAAGTTTGCGACGTTGCTGTAGCCTCGCCAAGCGTAAATTTTCACATCTAACCCTACCCCTAACCCCTAACACTAACCCTACCCCTTACCCTAATCCTAACCCTAACCCAAACCCTACGCATCCCTACACGCAACTGTATGATGATAGACACCCTACGCAACCCTACACGCAACCGTATGATGATAGGTAACCCTACACGCAACCGTATGATGACTACGCAACCGTATGATGACTACGCAACCGTACGCAACCCTACACGCAACCGTATGATGATAGCTAAGTATGTCATTTGATTCGTGGACTTTTCCGCTTACTGTTTGCAGTGCGGCCAAGGGAGAGAACTCCCACTAAACTGAACTAAGCCGTCCAGCCCGCATCCAGTATTGAAAGAAAAGCCGAGTGTTTTATTGTCAGTGAAGTTTTATTATTATTATTGTTTACTAATGAAACCATTAACGCTTCGTAATACCGGGGTGCTGCGTTCGATCCCAGCTGCGGGCCATGCGCCTTGCGTTGGTTTCGACAGTGGTATCAAGAAAGCCTGCCGTCAAGAAAGCAATGGCAAACTACTGGGGGTAAATTTGCCTAGGAAAACCACACAACGTTGGTTCTGCAACAACTGTAAAAGGATCACCCTGCTTACGATACCATGAAACTATTTTGTATTACAGATAGACAAAGTTTGAAAAAATCCAAGATGAACGATTACCTCAATTACATCCTGCAGATCAGTTCTAAGCGGAGATAATAATAGAATTTATTGTGGATATTCCACAGACATAGCTATTCGAATAATCAACTTTGTAGGCAGATGGATTCGACAGTATGCATCGTCCAACACTCAAAAATAAAATGTATAACTTGAATCCCTTAACAACAATATATTTGAACTATCCTCCTAATAACAACCACTATTATGGCAGAGATTTAAATTGTATTCTTTATCGATACAATTTGTATAACCTGTTTGAATAGAAAAAAATGTTGACAAATATGAATTCGACTTACAACGTGTTTGACTTAACAACCTGGTAGTTGGAAAGAACTTGGTCGTGAACCGAAGAGAACTGTGTAATGATTTCGCCGTGGTTTGTAGTTAGCCATGTAACAATGAAGTTGACTGAGACCATGCGCCTCTGTGCATTTTTTCACGACATAGCCATCACTCAGTTAACTTTCATGAATTCTGTATTTAAATATCCAGACTTAGCTAGATCGAGACAGCAGTCAGGCTTGGCACACACTGTGCAGAGTATCATAAAAAAAATCAAAAACGGTTGGCATCAGAACCTCAACTGTAGGATTCCAAGGTGCAAACACCTGCAAAAACATAAGCCAGTTAAAAAAAAGACCTTTTTGCTTGAGGCGGTCTAGGCTTCATATGGCAGATGCAAAAACAAAAGCCTTGAAGAAGAAGTCTTATCTGTTTTCACTTATGCTAAGGATAACAATGCCATGACAATGAGATAACCTTTCTCCGCTTTCTTCAGTGACAATAGCTTTTGATGTGGTGAAAATACAATTAAGTGTCTAACATCTGGAAATCAAAGACATCTTCACAAACGGCAAAAACTTCCTCTACTGTAACGGTTTAATGGATGATTGTCCTATGGATGCGCCATCTGCAAATGGTACGAAAGACTAGACAATTTAATTAGAACTTTGAAGGTAAATGATCTCACAAGAATGTTAAGTTTGTCAGATGGATTCTAATTTCCGAAATCTCACACAAATCATGTTACAGTCCAGGTCAAGAGTCATGTGTCTAATCTAACACACAGACTTAAATCGCAGCTGGAATATGTCGGCCACGCCCTTAGAATGGATAATTCGTCAAGACTTCTCTTACCAAAAACCCTCATTTGGACACCACAGGGAAAAAGATCTCGTGGAAGACCAAGGGAAACTTTACGTAGAACTATCATCAGGGAAGGCTCGCTCATGGGCCACTCAAAATTAAGACCTACAACGGATTGCAAACCGCCGTGTTATGGAGAGTCATGACCTCTGCCCTATTTATTGCCTCGAGAAAAGAGGAAATACAATTGCCGGGGTGCTGGGTTCGATCCCAGGAGCGGGCCATGCGCCTTGCGTTTTTTCGACGTGGAACGAAAAGCCCGCCGTCAAGAATGCAATGGCAAACTACGGTAAATTTGCAGAAGGAAAAACATAACGTAACGTCCTGTAAAGGATACGCAACTTACCTTTATGAAACTATTAAGTATTACAGATAGACAAAGTTTAAAATATCCAATCCAACGATACCTCAATTAATCCTGCAGGTCAGTTCTAAGCGGAGATAATAATATTTTATTGGCGGATACCACCACAGACATAGCTATTTAATAATTTGTAGGCAGATGGATTCTGAGTTGCCTCCCAGTCAAAATAAAATGTATTCTTGAATCCCTTAACAACAATATATTTGAGCTATCCTCCTAATAACAACCACATATTATGGCAGAGATTTAAATTGTATTCTTTATCTGTACAATTTGTATAACCTGTTTGAATAGAAAAAAATGTTGACAAATATGAATTCGACTTACAACGTGTTTGACTTAACAACCTGTTAGTTGGAACAGAACTTGGTCGTGAACCGAAGAGAACCTGTAATGATTTCCGTGGTTTGTAGTTAGCCAGTGTAACAATGAAGTTGACGAGACCAATCGCCTCTGTTCTTTTTTCAGACATAGTCCATCACTCAGTTAACTTTCATGAATTCTGTATTTAAATATCCATTGATAGCTAGATCGGAGACATCAGTCAGGCTTGGCAACTCTGTGCAGAGTATCATAAAAGGTGGTCAAAAACGGTTGGCATCAGGCTACCTCATACTGTAGGAAACTAGGTGCAAAATCCTGCCAAACATAAGCCAGTTAAAAAAAATTACCTGTTTTGCTTGAGGCGGTCTAGGCTTCAGTGGCAGATGCAAAACACAAACAGAAATGCCAGAAGAAGTCTTATCTGTTGGCAACAGGCATGCTAAAACATAACAATGCCACTGACTTAATGATAACCTTTCTCCGCTTTCTTCCAGTGACACCTTTTGATGTGGTGAAAATACGATTACAGTCTCAAGCAAAACCTTCATCTTTCACAAACGGCAAATGTTTCCTCTACTGTAACGGTTTAATGGATCACTTGTGTCCGTGTGGCAGTGGGCCATCTGCAGAATGGTACAAAAGACCTGGAAAATTTAATGGAACTTTGGTAGGTTGCAGATCTCACATTGATCATGTTACAGTCTTGTCAGATAATGATTTCTAATCTTGCAAATCTCACATTGATCATGTTACAGTCTTGTCAGATCATGATTTCTAATCTAACACACAGACTTAATATCACAGTCATAAATACAGTGGAACCTTGCTTAATGAGCATAATTCGTTCCAGAATCATACTCGTTAAGCAAAACACTCGTTATGCGAAATTTTTTTTCTCAAATAAAATAATTTAAAATACAATAATGCATTCCATGTCGAACAAAATACTCACAAAATGTTATGTATAATGAATATATTTATTGCCAGAAAATTATATACATATTGTTAAGGAGAGTGAATCATCTTCATCTTTTTTTTCAAACGTGGAACGAACCCACCTAGAATGTGAATTCGATTTGCAGAAAAAAAAGTCAAAATAATTTCGATGCATAGCTAATTATTTTTTTACCAGAAAGATGTCTAGAGACATCTGTTCTTGCAGACGCTTCAAAATTTGGCAAAAATGCGACACAGCATTATCATTAAATAAATTTGCAGCACGCATAGCCACTTCCTAATTAGGGGGATGCTTCTGAATGTAAGATGCAACAGTTTCCCATGCTTTCAGCATTTCCCTTATTTCGCCAGAAGATTGTTGCTTTTCTGTTACCTCCTCCTCCTCCTCTGACAAACTTTCCTCCAAAACTTCTTGCTGTCAATCACAGTACAACTCCATAAGCTCTTGGGTGGTCAGCTGTTGGCTGTGCTCTTCCACAAGCTCTTTGATATCACTGTTATCCACCTACAATCCCATGATAGTGGCCAAAGACGCAATCTTGTTCACTACAGGTTTAACAGGTACTGTCTCGAACCCCTAAAAGTCATAAATCGACAACGCTCTCCGGCCAAAGCTTCTTCCAAGCATTAGTTAGGGTTCTCTTGGTAACCCCTCCCCCCGCCTTGTCAATCATTTTGAGGCAGGCAACGATGTGGAAGTGGTTTTTACAAAACTCTTTGAGAGTGAGGTTGGTCCATTCAGTCACCTGAAAACAATGCTCGGACAGTGCTTAAGTGTAGAACTTCTCAAAGTTATAAATAACTTGCTGGTCCTTGAGCTGGAGTAACGGAGTGGTGTGAGGCAGAAACTGAATCTTGATGAACTTAAATTCTTCAGGGAGGTCATCTTGTAGGTCTGGATGATTTATGTACATATATCACAATATATCAAGTTTGAGAAAATGTGTGATCACAAGCGACACTACGATGCTACTGGAACAAGTGCTAAACACAGACTTATGTAACATGGGCACAATCCGAGACTTCCCCTCTCCTCGCCACTCGTTATACGAAATGTCGCTCGTTAAGCAAGTCATTATTTTTACAATTGTTTTGCTAATTATGCGAATTACTTGTTATGAGAGGTGCTCGTTAAGCGAGGTTCTACTGTATTGTTGTGACTCTTGCTTCTGACTGATTGAAGCTAATATGGTTCTTTTAGCAGTAACACCAAGCACAGTAAAATAAAACACTTGTACAGTGTCAGTGAAACATGGACATCTCAGCATAGCTTCCACCCACAGGTAACACATGACTGCCACCCACAGGTAACACATGGCTGCCACCCACAGGTAACACATGGCTGCCACCCACAGGTAACACAAGGCTGCCTAACAAATGTCTGCCACCCACATATAACACATGGCTGCCATCCATAGGTAACACATGGCTGCCACCCACAGGTAACACATGACTGCCACCCACACAGGCTGCCACCCACACACATGGCTGCCACCCACAGGTAACACATGGCTGCCACCCACAGGTAACACATGACTGCCACCCACAGATAACACATGGCTGCCATCCACAGGTAACACATGGCTGCCACCCACAGGTAACACATGACTGCCACCCACAGATAACACATGGCTGCCACCCACAGGTAACACATGGCTGCCACCCACAGGTAACACATGGCTGCCACCCACAGGTAACACATGACTGCCACCCACAGGTAACACATGGCTGCCACCCACAGGTAACACATGGCTGCCACCCACAGGTAACACATGGCTGCCACCCACAGGTAACACATGGCTGCCACCACAGGTAACACATGGCTGCCACCCACAGGTAACACATGGCTGCCACCCACATATAAACACATGGCTGCCACCCACACATGGCTGCCTAACACATGGCTGCCTAACACATGGCTGCCACCCACAGGTAACACATGGCTGCCACCCACAGGTAACACATGGCTGCCACCCACAGGTAACACATGGCTGCCCCCCACATGGCTGCCAACACATGGCTGCCACCCACATGGCTGCCACCCACAGGCACATGCTGCCACCCACAGGTAACACATGGCTGCCACCCACAGGTAACACATGGCTGCCACCCACAGGTAACACATGGCTGCCACCCACAGGTAACACATGGCTGCCACCCACAGGTAACACATGGCTGCCACCCACAGGTAACACATGGCTGCCACCCACAGGTAACACATGGCTGCCACCCACAGGTAACACATGGCTGCCACCCACAGGTAACACATGGCTGCCACCCACAGGTAACACATGGCTGCCTAACACATGGCTGTCACCCACAGGTAACACAGGCTGCCTAACACATGGCTGTCACCCACAGGTAACACATGGCTGCCACCCACAGGTAACACATGGCTGCCACCCACAGGTAACACATGGCTGCCACCCACAGGTAACACATGGCTGCCACCCACAGGTAACACATGGCTGCCACCCACAGGTAACACATGGCTGCCACCCACAGGTAACACATGGCTGCCCAACACATGGCTGCCACCCACAGGTAACACATGGCTGCCTAACACATGGCTGCCACCCACAGGTAACACATGGCTGCCACCCAACACATGGCTGCCACCCACAGGTAACACATGGCTGCCCCACACACATGGCTGCCACCCACAGGTAACACATGGCTGCCACCCACAGGTAACACATGGCTGCCACCCACAGTAAACACATGGCTGCCACCCACAGGTAACACATGGCTGCCACCCACAGGTAACACATGGCTGCCACCCATGGCTGGTAACACATGGCTGCCACCCACAGGTAACACATGGCTGCCACCCACAGGTAACACATGGCTGCCACCCACAGGTAACACATGGCTGCCACCCACAGGTAACACATGGCTGCCACCCACAGGTAACACATGGCTGCCTAACACATGGCTGTCACCCACAGGTAACACATGGCTGCCACCCACAGGTAACACATGGCTGCCACCCACAGGTAACACATGGCTGCCACCCACAGGTAACACATGGCTGCCACCCACAGGTAACACATGGCTGCCACCCACAGGTAACACATGGCTGCCACCCACAGGTAACACATGGCTGCCACCCACAGGTAACACATGGCTGCCACCCACAGGTAACACATGGCTGCCACCCACAGGTAACACATGGCTGCCACCCACAGGTAACACATGGCTGCCACCCACAGGTAACACATGGCTGCCTAACACATGGCTGCCACCCACAGGTAACACATGGCTGCCACCCACAGGTAACACATGGCTGCCCAACACATGGCTGCCACCCACAGGTAACACATGGCTGCCACCCACAGGTAACACATGGCTGCCCAACACATGGCTGCCACCCACAGGTAACACATGGCTGCCTAACACATGGCTGTCACCCACAGGTAACACATGGCTGCCTAACACATGGCTGTCACCCACAGGTAACACATGGCTGCCACCCACAGGTAACACACATGGGGCTGCCACCCACTGCCCAACACATGGCTGCCACCCACAGGTAACACATGGCTGCCACCCACAGGTAACACATGGCTGCCACCCACAGGTAACACATGGCTGCCACCCACAGGTAACACATGGCTGCCCAACACATGGCTGCCACCCACAGGTAACACATGGCTGCCTAACACATGGCTGCCCAACACATGGCTGCCTAACACATGGCTGCCTAACACATGGCTGCCACCCACAGGTAACACATGGCTGCCACCCACAGGTAACACATGGCTGCCACCCACAGGTAACACATGGCTGCCCAACACATGGCTGCCTAACACATGGCTGCCCAACACATGGCTGCCACCCACAGGTAACACATGGCTGCCACCCACAGGTAACACATGGCTGCCACCCACAGGTAACACATGGCTGCCACCCACAGGTAACACATGGCTGCCCAACACATGGCTGCCACCCACAGGTAACACATGGCTGCCACCCACAGGTAACACATGGCTGCCACCCACAGGTAACACATGGCTGCCACCCACAGGTAACACATGGCTGCCACCCACAGGTAACACATGGCTGCCACCCACAGGTAACACATGGCTGCCACCCACAGGTAACACATGGCTGCCTAACACATGGCTGTCACCCACAGGTAACACATGGCTGCCTAACACATGGCTGTCACCCACAGGTAACACATGGCTGCCACCCACAGGTAACACATGGCTGCCACCCACAGGTAACACATGGCTGCCACCCACAGGTAACACATGGCTGCCACCCACAGGTAACACATGGCTGCCACCCACAGGTAACACATGGCTGCCACCCACAGGTAACACATGGCTGCCACCCACAGGTAACACATGGCTGCCTAACACATGGCTGTCACCCACAGGTAACACATGGCTGCCTAACACATGGCTGTCACCCACAGGTAACACATGGCTGCCTAACACATGGCTGTCACCCACAGGTAACACATGGCTGCCTAACACATGGCTGCCACCCACAAGTAACACGTGGCTGCCACCCACAGGTAACACATGGCTGCATGGCTGCCACCCACAGGTAACACATGGCTGCCACCCACAGGTAACACATGGCTGCCACCCACAGGTAACACATGGCTGCCACCCACAGGTAACACATGGCTGTCACCCACAGGTAACACATGGCTGCCTAACACATGGCTGCCACCCACAGATAACACATGGCTGTCACCCACAGGTAACACATGGCTGCCTAACACATGGCTGCCACCCACAGGTAACACATGGCTGCCACCCACAGGTAACACATGGCTGCCACCCACAGGTAACACATGGCTGCCACCCACAGGTAACACATGGCTGTCACCCACAGGTAACACATGGCTGCTACCCACTGATAACAGTGATTTCCCACAATAAGTATTATGGTCACACACAGTTAATACAGGAACAGTGGATCATTGGTTGCCATGGGAACAGACCATTACTGGGGTAATGTGTAATATCCATGTGATTGGTTGTCTGCAGGATGCCCTGGTGAAGATTGTCCGTTTAGAAGGTGTGACTTCCTTGTGGAGTGGGCTCCCTCCCACCTTGTAGGTTTGTCTGTAGCTTTGACAATAGCCCTAAATAGATGAGTACATGAAGTGAGTGGATGGAGGAGTCGATTTGTAGATGGATGCATTGAGTGAGTGGATGAGTAGATAAATGAAGGATTGGATTGGTAGATGGGTGCATGAAGTGAGTAGATAGATGCATGAAGTGAGTAGATGGATGCATGCATTGAGTGGATGAGTAGATGGATGGAGGAGTTGATACGTAGAAGAATGCATGAAGTGAGTGAATGAGTAGATGCATGAAGTGTGTGGATGAGTAGATGCATGAAGTGTGTGGATGAGTAGATGCATGAAGTGTGTGGATGAGTAGATGCATGAAGTTTGTGAATGAGTAGATGCATGAAGTGTGTGGATGAGTAGATGCATGAAGTGTCTGGAGGAGTAGATGCATGAAGTTTGTGAATGAGTAGATGCATGAAGTGTGTGGATGAGTAGATGCATGAAGTGTGTGGATGAGTAGATGCATGAAGTGTGTGAATGAGTAGATGCATGAAGTGTGTGGATGAGTAGATGCATGAAGTGTGTGGATGAGTAGATGCATGAAGTGTGTGGATGAGTAGATGCATGAAGTGTGTGGAGTAGATGAGTAAGATGTGGTGAGCATGCATGAAGTGTGTGGATGAATAGATGGAGTGGATGAGTGATGCATGAAGTGTGTGGATGAGTAGATGCAGTGAATGAAAGTGTTGTGATGAGTAGATGCAAGTTTGTGTTTGAGTAGATGCATGAAGTTTGTAGATGCATGGATGAGTTTGTGAATGAGTAGATGCATGAAGGTGTGGAGATGCATGAAGTGTGTGAATGAGTAGATGCATGAAGTGTGTGGAATGAGTAGATGGCATGAAGTGAGTGAATGAATAGATGAAGAAGTGTGTGTAGATGCATGATGAGTAGATGCATGAAGTGTGTGGATGAGTAGATGCATGAAGTGTGTGGATGAGTAGATGCATGAAGTGTGTGAGATGAGTAGATGCATGAAGTGTGTGGATGAGTAGATGCATGAAGTTTGTGAATGAGTAGATGCATGAAGTTTGTGAATGAGTAGATGCATGAAGTTGTGTGGATGAGTAGATGCATGAAGTGTGTGGATGAGTAGATGCATGAAGTGTGTGGATGAGTAGATGCATGAAGTGTGTGGATGAGTAGATGCATGAAGTGTGTGGATGAGTAGATGCATGAAGTGTGTGGAGTAGATGAGAAGTAGATGCATAGATGCATGAAATGTGTGGATGAGTAGATGCATGAAGTGTGTGGATGAGTAGATGCATGAAGTGTGTGAATGAGTAGATGCATGAAGTGTGTGGATGAATAGATGCATGAAGTTTGTGAATGAGTAGATGCATGAAATGAGTGGATGAGTAGATGATAGTGCTGATGCATGAAGTTGTGAATGAGTAATAGAAACCATGGTGATAGTTGAAGTGAGTAGATGGATGGGATGAAGTAAGTGGATGAGTAGATGGATGAAGTGAGTGGCTGAGTAGGTGCATGAAGTGAGTGAATGAGTAGATGGATGAAGTGAGTGGCTGAGTAGGTGCATGAAGTGAGTGAATGAGTAAATGCATGAAGTGAGTGGATGAGTAGGTGCATGAAGGGAGTGGATGAGTAGATGCATGAAGTGAGTGGATAATTAGATGCATGAAGTGAGTAGATGGATGAAGTGAGTGGCTGAGTAGGTGCGTGAAGTGAGTGAATGAGTAAATGCATGAAGTGAGTGGATGAGTAGGTGCATGAAGGGAGTGGATGAGTAGATGCATGAAGTGAGTGGATAATTAGATGCATGAAGTGAGTAGATGGATGAAGGAGTCAATACGTAGATGATTACATGAAGTGAGTGGATAAGTAGATGAATGAAGTAAGTGGATGAGTAGATGGATGCATGAAGTGAGTGGATAGATGTATGGGTGGATTCGTATGCAAGTGAATAACATAATAAACATCTTTCTGATGAACCAACTGTCCATTTGTCACTCTGGTTATGTCAGTAATTTTGCTGCAGCAGTGACAGTATCACCATAACCTCAGGCCCTGTTGCAGTTACTATAACGTCTTGTCCAATAAACAGAGCAGAAGTCCGAAGCCTGGGTGTCATGACCCCCCCCCCCCCCCCCTTCTGTGCATACTCCCGTTGTGGAGTTGTTCTAATTATATTATCATGAATAAATAGGTTAGTGAAAAAGTGGATATGTTGATGGATAGATGGATTGATGTAATTAAGGAATAAATTGATCCATAGTTATGTTACAATTTCTGAACGGATAGATAGATGAATGTGTGGAAAAAAAATCCATGGAGTAAGTGAGTGGATGAGTTATAGAGAAATGGATGAATAAGTCAATCAGTTCATGGGATAATTAGGCAGATGGATGCAAGAGCAGAAAGCTGGGCTGATTAATGGAGTGAAACGAACACGTGGTTCTGTTAGCAAATGTTATGTTCAATCAGTAAAGCCATTTCTCTTGAACCTGTTTGTTACTTAAATTTTATTCTTTTAAATTGACTGGACTGTTTGTTTGTTTGGCTGTTTGTTTGACTGTTTGTTTGTGTGTGTTTGTTGTAGGATGATGGCCATCCCATCTACCGTGGTCTACTTCACCAGCTATGAACATTTGAAGAAAGTTCTAGGCTACCACCAGGAGCATTCTGGGGACCGCTGGAAGCCCATGGTGGCTGGCTCAGTGGCTAGAGGTATGTGTCTGCTTCAGAAACATTTACACTGTGTGTATCTGATCATCACCTGTGTTGTGTGTATCTGATCATCACCTGTGTTGTGTATATCTGATCTGATCATACCTGTGTGTGTGTGATTCACCTGTGTTTGTGTGTCATCCATCAAACTGTGTTGTGTGTATCTGATCATTACCTGTGTTGTGTGTATCTGATCATCACCTGTGTGGTGTGTATCTGATCATCACCTGTGTTGTGTGTATCTGATAATTACCTGTGTTGTGTGTATCTGATCATTACCTGTGTTGTGTGTATCTGATCATTACCTGTGTTGTGTGTATCTGATCATTACCTGTGTTGTGTTTATCTGATCATTACCTGTGTTGTGTGTATCTGATCATCACCTGTGTTGTGTGCATCTGATCATTACCTATGTTGGGTATATCTGATCATTACCTGTGTTGTGTGTATCTGATCATTACCTGTGTTGTGTGTATCTGATCATTACCTGTGTTGTGTTTATCTGATCATTACCTGTGTTATGTATATCTGATCATTACCTGTGTTGTGTATATCTGATCATTACCTGTGTTGTGTATATCTGATCATTACCTGTGTTGTGTATATCTGATCATTACCTGTGTTGTGTGTATCTGATCATTACCCGTTTTGTGTGTATCTGATCATTACATGTGATGCGTGTATCTGATCATTACCTGTGTTAAGTGTATCTGATCATTACATGTGTTGTGTGTATCTGATTATCACCTGTGTTGTGTGTATCTGATCATTACCTGTGTTGTGTATATCTGATCATTACCTGTGTTAAGTGTATCTGATCATTATCTGTATTGTGTATATATTATCCAAGGTGTGTGTGTGTCTGATCATTACCTATCTTGTTTATATCTGATCATTACCTATGTTATGTTATTTGATCATTACCTGTGTTGTATCTGATCATTACATAAGTTATGCATATCGGTGTTTATATTTTACAGTTATCCACATTATGGTTGTTTGTCATCAGCCCTAATATAGATATCCAACAATTACCGTCACTGTGGAAATCTAGCAATTAATCACACTAGATATTTATTGAACAGTCAGCCACACCACAAATATTATTTTTTTTTAACTCTGTGCGTATATTCTACAATTATAAAGTGTGGATAGTCTAAAAACCCAAAGTGCAGATATTATAAATTACCCACATTGTAAATGTCTGTTACACTTTTTACAATATCTAGTGATCTGCCTTCTTTGTTTGACATTTTGCCACATAAGCCATAGGATATTAGAAAAAAGAGTAGATATTCACAATTTCTTGACCTAATATCATTCTCATTATCAAGTGCATTGGCAACTGTTTGGGTCTCTGCACAACCTGCCATCTCCAACAGCCTTCATCAGCTCTTGTGCTGGTACACCTCCGCACAATGACAAAAGACCGTCAAGAATCTCCTCGCATTGTTTGCCTCAGTCTCTCTCCCACAAATCTGCCTGGTGGTCACTTGATGCACCAGTTTTCCTCTCATTGTCTCCTTCAAATGTTTATGATTCTACTGTTGCCTACAGCAAAAACATCATAATGTCTATTTTGTTGCTAACCTGCCAAATGGTGAGTCAACTTTGATGCATGTGTGAGATAATATAGGTGTCACATGTGTGTCAGGGGGGGAGCTGGGCAGATATATATAGGTTGTCACCATTTTCCATCCAGAAGTCCTGGGCAGCCAGCTTGATCAGCCCCATCGAGATGGTTCGCACCAAATGCAGTCCAAGAGACTGAAGGTACTCACAGGTAACGAACAGCTGTCAGGGACACAGTCAGATACAATGGAGTGCTGGGCCTTTATCGGGGCTTGGGTCCGACACTGCTGAGAGATGTTCCTTTCTCAGGTATCATCCCTGTAGTGTCTCAGTGTTTGGCTGTTGTACAGCATTGTGTGTCGCAGAGTAGTGTTTTATTATCCTTGAGTGGCTCATTCCCCTCTACAGATGTACTATCAGAGTCAGATGGAATCTGCTGGCAACATCATCCCTGGGGTCTTCTGGTCACATCATCCTTGGGGTCTGCTGGTCACATCATCCCTGGGGTCTGCTGGTCACATCATCCCTGGGGTCTGCTGGTCACATCATCCCTGGGGTCTGCTGGTCACATCATCCTTGGGGTCTGCTGGTCACATCATCCCTGGGGTCTGCTGGTCACATCATCCTTGGGGTCTGCTGGTCACATCATCCCTGGGGTCTGCTGGTCACATCATCCCTGGGGTCTGCTGACCACATTATTGCTGGGGTCTATTGCCCAGGTCATGCATAGAGTTATCTTGCCATGCATAGAACATGTTGGCATCTTTAGTCATGAGTGCTGGTCTACTGGCTTGAAGATCTAAGTGTTGACCAGATGGTTAGGTCAGATCTAAGTGTTGTCCGGATGGTTAGGTTAGATCTAAGTGTTGACCGGATGGTTAGGTCAGATCTAAGTGTTGACCAGATGGTTAGGTCAGATCTGTTGACCTGTGAACTCACTGCTGACAGAAACTGGAGGCTAGTCTACACATAGTTGCTGTAATTGTTCTGCAGGAACAGCCAAGTGTCTTGTGCTTCAACATCTGTCGAGTGACAATCCCAGTGGGTGTGTACAGGTGCTGTGACAGACAAGCCAGATGACCACTTGTGCTTCAACATCTGTCGAGAGACAATCCCAGTGGGTGTGTACAGGTGCTGTGACAGACAAGCCAGATGACCACTTGTGCTAGACAGCCGAAGAGATTGGTGATTGACTCCTCCCACTGACTGGCTGTGGACTGGACACAATGACAGGAGATTGTTACTGGGTTAGGCAGAAGATTGTTACTGGGTTAGGCAGGAGATTGTTACTGGGTTAGGCAGAAGATTGTTACTGGGTTAGGCAGGAGATTGTTACTGGGTTAGACAGGAGATTGTTACTGGGTTAGGCAGGAGATTGTTACTGGGTTAGGCAGAAGATTGTTACAGGGTTAGGCAGGAGATTGTTACAGGGTTAGGCAGAAGATTGTTGCTGGGTTAGGCAGGAGATTGTTACTGGGTTAGGCAGGAAATTGTTACTGGGTTAGGCAGGAGATTGTTACAGGGTTAGGCAGGAGATTGTTACAGGGTTAGGCAGGAGATTGTTACAGGGTTAGGCAGGAGATTGTTACAGGGTTAGGCAGGAGATTGTTACTGGGTTAGGCAGGAGATTGTTACAGGGTTAGGCAGGAGATTGTTACTGGGTTAGGCAGGAGATTGTTACAGGGTTAGGCAGGAGATTGTTACAGGGTTAGGCAGAAGATTGTTACTGGGTTAGGCAGGAGATTGTTACTGGGTTAGGCAGGAAATTGTTACAGGGTTAGGCAGAAGATTGTTACTGGGTTAGGCAGGAGATTGTTACAGGGTTAGGCAGGAGATTGTTACAGGGTTAGGCAGAAGATTGTTACTGGGTTAGGCAGGAGATTGTTGCAGGGTTAGGCAGGAGATTGTTACTGGGTTAGGCAGAAGATTGTTACAGGGTTAGACAGGAGATTGTTACAGGGTTAGGCAGGAGATTGTTACTAGGTTAGGCAGGAGATTGTTACTGGGTTAGGCAGGAGATTGTTACTGGGTTAGGCAGGAGATTGTTACTGGGTTAGGCAGGAAATTGTTACTGGGTTAGGCAGGAGATTGTTACTGGGTTAGGCAGGAGATTGTTACTGGGTTAGGCAGGAGATTGTTACAGGGTTAGGCAGGAGATTGTTACTGGGTTAGGCAGAAGATTGTTACAGGGTTAGGCAGAAGATTGTTGCTGGGTTAGGCAGAAGATTGTTACTGGGTTAGGCAGGAGATTGTTACTGGGTTAGGCAGGAAATTGTTACTGGGTTAGGCAGGAGATTGTTACTGGGTTAGGCAGGAGATTGTTACTGGGTTAGGCAGGAAATTGTTACAGGGTTAGGCAGGAGATTGTTACTGGGTTAGGCAGGAGATTGTTACAGGGTTAGGCAGGAAATTGTTACTGGGTTAGGCAGAAGATTGTTGCTGGGTTAGGCAGAAGATTGTTACTGGGTTAGGCAGGAGATTGTTACAGGGTTAGGCAGGAGATTGTTACTGGGTTAGGCAGGAGATTGTTACAGGGTTAGGCAGGAGATTGTTACTAGGTTAGGCAGGAAATTGTTACTGGGTTAGGCAGAAGATTGTTACAGGGTTAGGCAGGAGATTGTTACTAGGTTAGGCAGGAGATTGTTACTGGGTTAGGCAGGAGATTGTTACTGGGTTAGGCAGGAGATTGTTGCTGGGTTAGGCAGGAGATTGTTACTGGATTAGGCAGGAAATTGTTACTGGGTTAGGCAGGAGATTGTTACTAGGTTAGGCAGGAGATTGTTACAGGGTTAGGCAGGAGATTGTTACTGGGTTAGGCAGGAAATTGTTACTGGGTTAGGCAGAAGATTGTTACTGGATTAGGCAGGAGATTGTTACAGGGTTAGGCAGGAGATTGTTACTGGGTTAGGAAACAAGTCTTCTGACAACTGTCATGTTTTCACTAATCATTGTTCAGGCTGTGTGTGCATGTGTTTATGTGTGTGGAGCCTTCAATAGAATCAGGTGTCTACAGGTCTGGTACCTCTCTGATGTTTAAGAAAAATGAAAATATTAATTTGATTCAGAATTAGCCTGGTCTGTAACCATTACATGTGGTTTCTTCAAGATTTCCTGTTTTTTTAAAAAAATGTGTAACTATAGCTGGTGTCATTGTGTTTGTTTATATACTGTGCTGATTGTGTTTGTTTATATACTGTGCTGATTGTGTTTGTTTATATACTGTGCTGATTGTGTTTACATTTGACATGTTCTGTATCCACAGCCATATACTGGACAAGTTACGAGACTTTCAAATCCTACATTTTGACCACAACTGGACGCTCCACTTTATTCTTTCATGAAAGTTTTGGATCCGGTGCACTGGCAGGATCTGTGAGTACCACTGAATGTGAGCACTGTTGCCTTGATCTGGCAGGATCTGTGAGTACCACTGAATGTGAGCACTGTTGCCTTGATCTGGCAGGATCTTTGAGTACCACTGAATGTGAGCACTGTTGCCTTGATCTGGCAGGATCTGTGAGTACCACTGAATGTGAGCACTGTTGCCTTGATCTGGCAGGATCTGTGAGTACCACTGAATGTGAGCACTGTTGCCTTGATCTGGCAGGATCTGTGAGTACCACTGAATGTGAGCACTGTTGCCTTGATTCTGGCAGGATCTGTGAGTACCACTGAATGTGAAGCACTGTTGCCTTGATCTGGCAGGATCTGTGAGTACCACTGAATGTGAGCACTGTTGCCTTGATCTGGCAGGATCTGTGAGTACCACTGAATGTGAGCACTGTTGCCTTGATCTGTGAGTACCACTGAATGTGAGCACTGTTGCCTTGATGTTCATGCTCACCACCATCTTCACCACTGTTTGGGTTCCACATGGAGCACAGGGACCCATCAGTGTGTTAGTTCCTTAGCAGGACCTGTAGAGGAAAGCACTGGAGGCTGTATGCTATAGTTGTGTGATAGAAAGTAGGCTCCGTGGACAGCATTAGTGTGTGTGTGTGTGTATGTACAGACACAGACAGGACGGATCACAGACTTGTTCAGAGAAATAGCACAGTTGGAGAAATGGAGGAAGGGACACATAAACATCATCAAATTTAATGACAGAATTAGACAGGCGTGAACAAGGAAATGGGAGAAAAGGGTTCAGGGTGCAGCTACAAGAAAGATGAGCAGAGAAAGAGAGATGGGGTAAAACAAACAGGAGAAACAGATAAGTGAAAAGTGATTGAAATAACACTGCACATAAAAATGTAAACGATGGGAAATATGAATTTAAAAACAGTGTAGGCGAGATGGGACAACAGATGTAGTTTGAGAAGAAAGTAGGACAATGTAGAGACAGACATATATAACGGTAGTGATGGATGGGCAGACAAAGAAGAAAGCAGACATGCAAGAAATTTAATATAATGAGAGATGATAGATCAGGAGTGTAAATCGAGAAATTAAAATGTCAGTTGAGTAAGAGAGAGATAAAAGATAGATTGTAAGAAAGTATGGAATACAGAAAAAAAAAAGAGAATATCATAGTCATAAAAAAGTGAATAGAGAAGAAAAGAGGAAGGATAAGCAGGAAGAGAATTTAGAAAAACAAAATTAGGAGAAAGAGGGAGAACAAAGAGAGAGAGAGAGAGAGAGAGAGAGAGAGAGAGAGAGAGAGAGAGAGAGAGAGAGAGAGAGAGAGAGAGAGAGAAATACAAGATTTGTAGTACATATGAGTAAATAAACACAAGAAAGCAATGTTTGAGGCTTGTGTTTCCACAGATCGCTGCCGTCCTGACTCTACCATTTGATGTGATTAAGACCCGGAGACAGATAGAGTTGGGTGAATTGTTGGTTGGTAAGTCTGAGGGAATAAGATTGCATGTGATGTGTAGTGACACAAATAAGATTGAGTGTTTTAATATTATATTGTTTAGCTGTGTAGTGACACAGATAAGATTGAGTGTTTTAATGTTATATTGTTTAGCTGTGTAGTGACACAGACAAGATTGAGTGTTTAATGTTATATTGTTTAGATGTGTATTGACACAGATAAGATTGAGTGTTTTAATGTTATATTGTTTAGATGTGTAGTGATACAGAAAAGATTGAGTGTTTTTATGTTATATTGTTTAGATGTGTATTGACACAGATAAGATTGAGTGTTTTAATGTTATATTGTTTAGTTGTGTAGTGACATAGATAAGATTGAGTGTTTTAATGTTATATTGTTTAGTTGTGTAGTCACATAGATAAGATTGAGTGTTTTAATGTTATATTGTTTAGATGTGTATTGACACAGATAAGATTGAGTGTTTTAATGTTATATTGTTTAGATGTGTATTGACACAGATAAGATTGAGTGTTTTAATGTTATATTGTTTAGTTGTGTAGTACACAAATATGATTTTTATGTTATATAGTCTGCCAGGGTATGATGGAGTCATTCCCCATCTCTGATCCTAACAGTTTGTACAGCAGGGGACAACTCAGCAGTGCAGTTCTCAGAACTTGTTAGCCTATGAAAGATTTTCAGGCATGCACCAGACGGAGGCCACTGAAACATACCAAGTTGTACCACAACTGACTGGCCCTAGTTGAGACAGTGTTAGTGAGGGACAGAACAACTGACTGGCCCTAGTTGAGACAGAGGTAGTGAGGGACAGAACAACTGACTGGCCCTAGTTGAGACAGTGTTAGTGAGGGACAGAACAACTGACTGGCCCTAGTTGAGACAGTGTTAGTGAGGGACAGAACAACTTACTGGCCCTAGCTGAGACAGAGGTAGTGAGGGACAGAACAACTGACTGGCCCTAGTTGAGACAGTGTTAGTGAGGGACAGAACAACTTACTGGCCCTAGCTGAGACAGAGGTAGTGAGGGACAGAACAACTGACTGGCCCTAGTTGAGACAGTGTTAGTGAGGGACAGAACAACTGACTGGCCCTAGTTGAGACAGTGTTAGTGAGGGACAGAACAACTGACTGGCCCTAGTTGAGACAGTGTTAGTGAGGGACAGAACAACTGACTGGCCCTAGTTGAGACAGTGTTAGTGAGGGACAGAACAACTGACTGGCCCTAGTTGAGACAGTGTTAGTGAGGGACAGAACAACTGACTGGCCCTAGTTGAGACAGTGTTAGTGAGGGACAGAACAACTGACTGGCCCTAGTTGAGACAGTGTTAGTGAGGGACAGAACAACTGACTGGCCCTAGTTGAGACAGAGGTAGTGAGGAACAGAACAACTGACTGGCCCTAGTTGAGACAGAGGTAGTGAGGAACAGAACAACTGACTGGCCCTAGCTGAGACAGAGGTAGTGAGGAACAGGACAACTGACTGGCCCTAGTTGAGACAGAGGTAGTGAGGAACAGAACAACTGACTGGCCCTAGTTGAGACAGAGGTAGTGAGGAATAGAACAACTGACTGGCCCTAGTTGAGACAGAGGTAGTGAGGAACAGAACAACTGACTGGCCCTAGCTGAGACAGAGGTACCGGGGAACAGAACAACATAATGCTTCTTTTTCTTATTCGTACTCACCCGCTGTAAACTTTGGCAGATAGTTGTGGTTTTTTATCCACCTCTGGATTTCAGTCTTGTTCCAGAACCCGAGTATTGCATGCACATCCAATCTACAGATCTGACTCATTTGTATGTAGATCATTGGTTCTTTTCCTCTCAGGCAGATACACTCAGACTTCAAAGAAAGCCCCTAATTACTGGACTCCTATGACATGCTTGTTGAGAGAGGCTTTCCGTCTATTGCTTTCCCCACAATGAGACCCCGGAACCCACATAAGGACAGCATTAAGCATTGAGCTAGAACAGTTGATGTTCTCAAAGGCATTTATTATCTTCTAGGAGCCAGGTGATCCACCTTGTGACCAGCAGGTGTTAAATTGACTGACAGGTGCCTTGATGGAGACAAGTCTGCAGTAGATTGACTGACAGGTGCCTTCGTGGAGACAAGTCTGCAGTAGATTGACTGACAGGTGCCTTGATGGAGACAAGTCTGCAGTAGATTGACTGACAGGTACCTTCATGGAGACAAGTCTGCAGTAGATTGACTGACAGGTAGTTCATGGAGACAAGTCTGCAGTAGATTGACTGACAGGTAGTTCATGGAGACAAGTCTGCAGTAGATTGACTGACAGGTGCCTTCATGGAGATAAGACTGCAGTAGATTGACTGACAGGTACTTCATGGAGACAAGACTGCAGTAGATTGACTGACAGGTACTTCATGGAGACAAGACTGCAGTATATTGACTGACAGGTACCTCATGGAGACAAGACTGCAGTAGATTGACTGACAGGTACTTCATGGAGACAAGTCTGCTGTAGATTGACTGACAGGTACTTCATGGAGACAAGTTTGCAGTAGATTGACTGACAGGTACTTCATGGAGACAAGTCTGCAGTAGATTGACTGACAGGTACTTCATGGAGACAAGTCTGCAGTAGATTGACTGACAGGTACTTCATGGAGAAAAGTCTGCAGTAGATTGACTGACAGGTACTTCATGGAGACAAGTCTGCAGTAGATTGACTGACAGGTACATCATGGAGACAAGTCTGCAGTAGATTGACTGACAGGTCCCTAATGGAGACAAGTCTGCAGTAGATTGACTGACAGGTGACTTCATGGAGACAAGACTGCAGTAGATTGACTGACAGGTACTTCATGGAGACAAGTCTGCAGTAGATTGACTGACAGGTGCCTTCATGGAGACAAGTCTGCAGTAGATTGACTGACAGGTACTTCATGGAGACAAGACTGCAGTAGATTGACTGACAGGTACTTCATGGAGACAAGTCTGCAGTAGATTGACTAACAGGTACTTCATGGAGACAAGTCTGCAGTAGATTGACTGACAGGTACTTCATGGAGACAAGTCTGCAGTAGATTGACTGACAGGTACCTTTAGGAAGCTTGTGTAACTCACAGACTTGTCATTTTCAGGTAGCCGCAAGGAGCCAACATCTACTTGGATCATCATCAGGAACATTTACTCAAATGAAGGCTTCAAGGCTTTGTATACAGGTGTGTATGCTTTTTCATTTGTACAGGTATCTGTTCACATACATAATGATCTGTAAGATATCTGTTTGTTCTGATGGGGGACTGACAAAGACCTGCTTGACTAGGGTAATCTCTCCCTGATCTGCTCTCATGCAGTCATTTTATCCAGTACTGACTCGCTGTACCCCGAGAAATCCGAGGCGCTGGGATCCACTAAGCCCAGTTCACATACCACGGACCATTCCGTGTTTCAGCTTGTCTGTACTACCCCTAAACTTAGTTATGGGTAACTATGTACAGACCTGTTCATTTATCATCATCATCTCTTACTGTCCCATAGCCAAGAGGACCACCTGTGTGGACCTGTAGAAGCGACTGTGAACACATCATGAGAAGCCAGCTTGAACAACATGGAACCATGGCTGTCTGCATATATGTGGCATCTGTTGCTGCACAGTTGATTGTCTGAGTCATACAGCAAGCAGACATTATGATCATGCCCTGTTCCAGACAGCAAATGACAAGGACTACTTTAAGGAAACAGTATGTCTCCAACATTTGACCCCTGTGTGCTCACAGGTGCTTGCCCTAAAGATGCACACACACAGAGTGAACTGTTTATTTGTCAAAAGCTAGAAGAAATAAACACATGTTTCATCCAGGAAATGCTTGAAATAAAAGCCAAGAAACAGTAGCAACACCCCCCCCCCCATATTTCTTTAAAACTAAAAAAAAAGAAACCACCATTTGGCATGATTCACTAATAAATTTTGTAAGGATTTATTTAATCCAGACTTCAATTTTTAAGCTACATGTTATGAAATGTCGGGTCAGCAGATTTTACAGCTAGATGGCAAGAAATGCGTGGTCAGAAACTTTTACAGGAAAGTTCCATGGCAAGAAATGATATTGGTCAACAACTTTTACAGGAAAGCTCTGTGGCAAGAAATGATATTGGTCAACAACTTTTACAGGAAAGCTCCATGGCAAGAAATGATATTGGTCAACAACTTTTACAGGAAAGCTCCATGGCAAGAAATGATATTGGTCAACAACTTTTACAGGAAAGCTCCATGGCAAGAAATGATATTGGTCAACAACTTTTACAGGAAAGCTCCATGGCAAGAAATGATATTGGTCAACAACTTTTACAGGAAAGCTCCATGGAAATGATATGGTCAAGGAAATGGCATATTGGTCAACAACTTTTACAGGAAAGCTCCATTTTACAGGCTCCATGGCAAGAAATGATATTGGTCAACAACTTTTACAGGAAAGCTCCATGGCAAGAAATGATATTGGTCAAAAGAAATGCATGGTTGGAAACTTTTAAGAAAATGCAATGGTCAGAAACTTTTACAGGAAAGCTCCATGGCAAGAAATGCATGGTCAGAAACTTTTTACAGGAGGCAAGAAATCCATGGTCAGAAAACTTTTAAGAAAGCATGGTCATGAACAACTTTTACAGGAAAGCTCCATGGCAAGAAATGATATTGGTCAACAACTTTTACAGGAAAGCTCCATGGCAAGAAATGCGTGGTCAGAAACTTTTACAGGAAAGCTCCATGGCAAGAAATGCATGGTTAGAATTTTTTACAGGAAAGCTCTGTGGCAAGAAATGATATTGGTCAACAACTTTTAAAGGGGTTAACTCCATATGTTGACACTGATAATGTTCAGCAGCACTTTGCTACCAGTGATCTTGGCTTGGTGCAGGCATTAATGCCTCCACTGTTGTTGCATGTTTATTTCTAGACATGTTTACATTAACCATGGGATCATGTTCACATGATTTCAACCTGTCTTCCATCAGGCCTGCCCCCGAGACTGATGAAGGTGGCCCCAGCTTGTGCCATCATGATCAGTACTTTTGAATACTTCAAACATTTCTTTGCATCTCGGCAACACTGACCACCATCAGGTGATGAGGGAGTGTAGCATAGAGGCGATGAGGGAGTGTAGCATGGAGGCCATGAGGGAGTGTAGCGCGGAAGTCATGAGGGAGTGTATCGTGGAGGCCATGAGGGATTGTAGCATGGAGGGAGCAGCATGGAGGGAGGCTATGTGGGAATGTAGCATGGAGAGTATGTGGGGGTGTATTGTGGAGGCAATGTGGGAGTGTAGCGTGGAGGGAGGCCATGTGGGAGTGCAGCATAGAGGTCATGAGGGAGTGTAGCATGGAGGTGATGAGTGAGTATGTCGCAGGCATGTTTATATAGCTGTGTTTGATATCTGCCTCTATATTTGTGTGTAATTTCATGTAGTCATGTCTTATCTGCTGTTGCATTTGTTTCTCTTTGTTTAATCATCAAAACTACTGTTATATGTGTCTTTCTCTGTAATCTTGCCGTTTTTCCAGTATATGCGTTTCTGATATCTCTTTTGTCCTGTTGTCTGTAGAACAAACTAATGATATATTTGCTTGTTCTTCTGCGACCCAGTACACATGAAATCTAATAACAATCTCTGCCGAATATCCTTGTAGCTGGCTGGTTCATGTATCCTTGTAGCTGACTGGTTCATGTATCCTTGTAGCTGGCTGGTTCATGTATCCTTGTCGCTGGCTGGTTCATGTATTTTTGTAGCTGGCTGGTTTGTGTATCGTTGTAGCTGGCTGGTTTGTGTATCCTTGTAGCTGGCTGGCTCCTGTATCCTTGAGCTGGCTGGTTCATGTATCCTTGTAGCTGGCTGGTTCATGTATCCTTGTAGCTGGCTGGTTCATGTATCCTTATAGCTGGCTGGTTCATGTATCCTTGTAGCTGGCTGGTTTATGTATCCTTGTAGCTGGCTGGTTCATGTATCCTTGTAGCTGGCTGGTTCATGTATCCTTGAGCTCATAGCTCTCAGGTTTGTGTGTGTCTCCTCTCATGTCTGCTGCTGTGGCTAGTCACCACCAAGTCGCATCTGGCAGAGTTTATCCTCATTTATCTATAATATGCTGAGACAGGTTTTTTTACTCTCAGGTTTAACTGAAATTGATCTGATGTTGGTGAGAATTCTTTTTATAAAAGTAACATTTGACTGTTGTGTGAATGTTTTTTGTTGGAGCAGACATTTGATTGTTGTGTGAATGTTTTTTGTTGGAGCAGACATTTGATTGTTGTGTGAATGTTTTTTGTTGGTGTAGACATTTGATTGTTGTGTGAATGTTTTTTGTTGGAGCAGACATTTGATTGTTGTGTGAATGTTTTTTGTTGGAGCAGACATTTGATTGTTGTGTGAATGTTTTTTGTTGGAGCAGACATTTGATTGTTGTGTGAATGTTTTTTGTTGGAGCAGACATTTGATTGTTGTGTGAATGTTTTTTGAAGATGGAGCAGACATTTGATTGTTGTGTGAATGTTTTTTGAAGATGGAGCAGACATTTGATTGTTGTGTGAATGTTTTTTGATGGAGCAGACATTTGATTGTTGTGTGAATGTTTTTTGAAGATGGAGCAGACATTTGATTGTTGTGTGAATGTTTTTTGAAGATGGAGCAGACATTTGATTGTTGTGTGAATGTTTTTTGAAGATGGAGCAGACATTTGATTGTTGTGTGAATGTTTTTTGTTGGAGCAGACATTTGATTGTTGTGTGAATGTTTTTTGTTGGAGCAGACATTTGATTGTTGTGTGAATGTTTTTTGTTGGAGCAGACATTTGATTGTTGTGTGAATGTTTTTTGAAGATGGAGCAGACATTTGATTGTTGTGTGAATGTTTTTTGAAGATGGAGAAGACATTTGATTGTTGTGTGATATTTGATTTTGGAGGTTAGAGAAATGTCATCTTGTTAAGAAAGATTTTGTTACAATGTAATAAATATTGATCTTATTTGACAGGTTTGATGTTTGTCATTGGCAGTGTGGTCTCTTTGACCCTAGATAGCTGATGGCATTGGGGACTGTGTATATTCCTCAACTGAACTTGATGGCCACTGTCTCTAAACAATGTAGATTTGGCCCTACTTTCCTTCATTCCTCTTGCTATTGAATAGACACATCAATCGTCTGTGTAGTAGAAAACAAGCACCAAATATCTGTGTAACACACAATAATACTCTACAATGTACAAGAGGCAGGAACTATCTGCGACTGAGCTGACTGCATAACAAGACCTGTCAACACTGATAAGATACAAATACTTGAAGAATCTCTGGAAAGACAATTTTATTTTTGTCCCTACCACAGGCTTTCTGCCCTCCACGAATTGATTGTTTACAGTTTACAAAGAGTACCACAGACAAACAACCTGTCTTGACTTTCTCACATGTACATGACTGGGGTGAAACATCTTCTTCTCTAGTCCTGTACTGCCTAGCTGATCAGCTTGTGAAGAAGAATCAACTGACAGCCTTGGTATGTGCTACGTAGAAGCTGGCATCTACCACCTCAGATATTTCATCTTTCCATCACTTGTATGGTCAACCTCCGGCTCTGCTTCCATGATGTTTGAGTGACAGGGCTCTCTGTGCTGTGGTGGAAGTCTTGACACATCTCCGAACCACTTGACCTGTTGTCTCTGGATGTAGTTTAATACTTGTTCTGTCTCAACTTCTCTCCTGATATTGTCATTTCTGATCCTGTCTCTTCTAATGACATTGAGCATTCAGCGTGGACATTTCTGTTGTTTGTTAGTTCTTCTGTTGTTAGTGTCCACGTCTGGCATCAGTAGCATAATGTCACTCAAAATACTGTATTGAATAGTGCTTTTGTGTGTGTTTGCTCTGTAAAACTGGAGACATTTCTCCAATAAACTGATGTGCTTTATTACATCTGTGATCTATCTCTGCTTCCATTGGATGAAAGTCAACCATCTCAAGTAGTATTTCCTTTGGTGCCTCAAAGACTTGAACAATTAACCATCTGTCCACTATGTTTTATAACTTAAAGCAAACCCTGAAATACCTGTCTAGTACCTTAGGAGCATATAGTTAAACACCTGCCCAGTACCTTAGGAGCATATAGTTAAACACCTGCCCAGTACCTTAGGAGCATATAGTTAAACACCTGCCCAGTACCTTATGAGCATATATACAGTTAAGCACCTGTCAATTACCTTGGAGCACACAAACACTAGCCCAATGCCTTACTGCACACAGTTAAACACCAGCCCAGCACCTTAGAGCATACAGTTAAACACCTGCCCAGTACCATAGAGCACACAGTTAAACACCTGCCCAGTACCATAGAGCATACAGTTAAACACCTGCCTAGTACCTTAGAGCATACAGTTAAACACCTGCCCAGTACCATAGAGCACACAGTTAAACACCAGCCCAGTACCTTAGAGCATACAGTTAAACACCTGCCCAGTACCACAGAGCACACAGTTAAACACCTGCCCAGTACCATCATAGAGCACACAGTTAAACACCTGCCCAGTACCATCATAGAGCACACAGTTAAGCACCTGCCTAGTACCATCATAGAGCACACAGTTAAGCACCTGCCTAGTACCATCATAGAGCACACAGTTAAACACCTGCCTAGTACCATCATAGAGCACACAGTTAAACACCTGCCCAGTACCTTAGAGCATACAGTTAAACACCTGCCCAGTACCATAGAGCACACAGTTAAACACCTGCCCAGTACCTTAGAGCATACAGTTAAACACCTGCCTAGTACCTTAGAGCATACAGTTAAACACCTGCCCAGTACCTTAGAGCATACAGTTAAACACCTGCCCAGTACCATAGAGCACACAGTTAAGCACCTGCCTAGTACCATCATAGAGCACACAGTTAAACACCTGCCCAGTACCATAGAGCACACAGTTAAACACCTGCCCAGTACCTTAGAGCATACAGTTAAACACCTGCCCAGTACCATAGAGCACACAGTTAAACACCTGCCCAGTACCATAGAGCATACAGTTAAACACCTGCCTAGTACCTTAGAGCATACAGTTAAACACCTGCCCAGTACCTTAGAGCATACAGTTAAACACCTGCCCAGTACCATAGAGCACACAGTTAAACACCAGCCCAGTACCTTAGAGCATACAGTTAAACACCTGCCCAGTACCACAAAGCACACAGTTAAACACCTGCCCAGTACCATCATAGAGCACACAGTTAAACACCTGCCTAGTACCATCATAGAGCACATAGTTAAGCACCTGCCTAGTACCATCATAGAGCACACAGTTAAACACCTGCCCAGTACCATAGAGCACACAGTTAAACACCAGCCCAGTACCATAGAGCACACAGTTAAACACCTGCCCAGTACCACAGAGCACACAGTTAAACACCTGCCCAGTACCACAGAGCACACAGTTAAACACCTGCCCAGTACCACAGAGCAAACAGTTAAACACCTGCCCAGTACCACAGAGCAAACAGTTAAACACCTGCCCAGTACCACAGAGCACACAGTTAAACACCTGCCCAGTACCACAGAGCACACAGTTAAACACCTGCCCAGTACCACAGAGCACACAGTTAAACACCTGCCCAGTACCACAGAGCATACAGTTAAACACCTGCCCAGTACCTTAAAGCACACAGTTAAACACCTGCCCAGTACCTTACAGCATACAGTTAAACACCTGCCCAGTACCTTACAGCATACAGTTAAACACCTGCCCAGTATCATAAACCACACAGTTAAACACCAGCGAACTACCTTAGAGCATACAGTTAAACACCTGCCTAGTACCTTAGAACACAGTTAAACACCTGCCCAGTACCTTACAGCATAAGTTAAACACCTGCCCAGTACCTTAAAGTACACAAACACCTGCCCAGTACCTTTGAGTACACAAACACCTGCCCAGTACCTTACAGCATAAGTTAAACACCTGCCCAGTACCTTAGAGTACACAAACACCTGCCCAGTACCTTAAAGCACACAAACACCTGCCCAGTACCTTAGAGTATACAAACACCTGCCCAGTACCTTAGAGTACACAAACACCTGCCCAGTACCTTAGAGTACACAAACACCTGCCCAGTACCTTTGAGTACACAAACACCTGCTCAGTACCTTAAAGCACACAAACACCTGCCCAGTACCTTGGAGCACACAAACACCTGCCCAGTACCTTAAAGCACACAAACACCTGCGTAGTACCTTAAAGCACACAAACACCTGCCCAGTACCTTAGAGTACACAAACACCTGCCCAGTACCTTAGAGTACACAAACACCTGCTCAGTACCTTAGAGCAAATAGTTGAATAGCTACCCAATACCTCCAGAGGTCATAAAGTCAAAAAGCTACAAAATAATCTAAGCTTTCCATTTGTAAAAAATTATTTACAATATGCACAAAATCTACCAGTCATAAAGTTTATATACAAATACATATCTTTCGCACATTAAGTTAAGCCATGCTCATAGGTCGACACTTTCAGTCTTGATCTGTTTTCTGCTGGCTTTATCTCTGTCTGGTAAAACACCACTATCCTTGCCCTGGTTTCTGTCTAGTTTGCCCAGAATACTTGCACCACTTACAGACAGGTTATCGCTGATCCCAAAAATCTCATCAATAGAAGGCGCCGTCTGTATTTGTGGGCCTATGGAAGTCCAGATGTAACACAATTTGGGTTCAGGATTGACAGTTTTGTACGGGGCATCGTGGGCACGGAAGTAGTCGGATGGTGCATGGCAGACAAACTCCATGTAATCCATTTTACGAGGCAAGTCTTCCTCTGGTCCTGAAATGTTTACAGTAACAATTATAATTACACTATCAAACTGATCTGTGCATACCTACTCTCTCTCTCTCCCCCCCCCCTCTCTCTCTCACTTATCCCCTCAGTGTGTGCAATTTGCCTGATTCAATTCCAAAAGAAGAAAAGCCCACACACACACACAAATAGTTTTGAAGAAAAAAATATATATGGCCAGTCACACTGCCTGAGCTATGATGGCCAGTCACACTGCCTGAGCTAGGATGGCCAGTCACACTGCCTGAGCTATGATGGGACAAACAATAGATTTTATAAGTAATGTTTAAAAAAAAACCTCTTGCTTTCACCAGTGGTGCACTGATACTCTTCTCTCCACCAGTGGTGGATTGATACTCTTCTCTCCACCAGTGGTGCACTGATACTCTTCTCTCCACCAGTGGTGCACTGATACTCTTCTCTCCACCAGTGGTGGATTGATACCCTTCTCTCCACCAGCGGTGCATTGATACTCTTCACTCCACCAGTGGTGCACTGATACTCTTCTCTCCACCAGTGGTGCATTGATACTCTTCTCTCCACCAGTGGTGCATTGATACTCTTCTCTCCACCAGTGGTGCATTGATACTCTTCTCTCCACCAGTGATGCACAGATACCCTTCTCTCCACCAGTGGTGCATTGATACTCTTCTCTACACCAGTGGTGCACTGATACTCTTCTCTCCACCAGTGGTGCATTGATACCCTTCTCTCCACCAGTGGTGCACTGATAGCCTTCTCTCCACCAGTGGTGCATTGATACCCTTCTCTCCACCAGTGGTTCATTGATACTCTTCTCTCCACCAGTGGTGCATTGATACCCTTCTCTCCACCAGTGGTGCATTGATACCCTTCTCTCCACTAGTGGTGCACTGATACTCTTCTCTCCACCAGTGGTGCACTGATACTCTTCTCTTCACCAGTGGAGCATTGATACTCTTCTCTCCACCAGTGGTGCATTGATACTCTTCTCTCCACCAGTGGTGCATTGATACTCTTCTCTCCACCAGTGGTGCACAGATACTCTTCTCTCCACCAGCGGTGCATTGATACTCTTCTCTCCACCAGTGGTGCATTGATACTCTTCTCTCCACCAGTGATGCACAGATACTCTTCTCTCCACCAGCGGTGCACTGATACCCTTCTCTCCACCAGCGGTGCACTGATACCCTTCTCTCCACCAGTGGTGCATTGATACTCTTCTCTCCACCAGTGGTGCACAGATAGTCTTCTCTCCACCAGCGGTGCACTGATACTAGGTTCATTCTTTACAGACAAGTCAGCACTCAGTGAGTGAGAGGTCAACATGATGCCCTGCTGGGTCAAGCCGGGAGACACCGTCAAGTTTAAAACACAAAATGTGATCTAATGCGAATCAGAACCGGGCAGGAGAATACAGACTATACCAGCAAAATAACTTTTGGCTGGCACCTTTCTGTCTTTCCAGCTGATAGTGTTATGTTGTGCTATGAGGAGGTAAGGGTCACCCAGCTTATGGCAATGACCAGTGTGGCTAGCAAGACCCGCCTGCGTTAAGGAAGTCTTCCACAGTTATAGTAGGACCACTGGTGTGAACGTTTGTCTATGACTTCTCAGGTGCTCAGCTCTCATCCTTTCTGAAATCATTTCTGTCTCCATTCTCATTCCCTTCCTGATGTGCCCCCTCCACAATAATATGGTCCAGGGCATTTTGTTCACCCGAGTCCACCTCAGTACCTGTATCATTCATGTCCTGCCTGCACACAGCTTTATTTATTAGTAGAGTTCGGCCAAACATCTTTACAGGTCTTCAATTTACCATATAAAGTATGTCCTTAGGGACTCTGCCATTCTCCATTCTCCAGGAGTGACCCAGCCACCTGAACCTTTCTTGACTAAACATTGAGAAGACTGTTATAATACCTGCTCTTTTCCAATACCCCAGTGTTTGTGATCTTGTCCTGTCACTTAATGCCAAGTATTCTTCTTAGACATCACATGTGAAAGTTATTTAGCCGTCTCTCCTAGTGTGAATAAGTCAACCAAGTTTCTCTGCCATAAAGCAGAGTGCTGAGAACACAAGCCTGATAGACAAGGGTTTAGTTTTAATCGTGAGCTTTCTGTTCTCTCAAACTCTCATTTGTTAATCTGCTCATTGTTGTTGCTGCCTTACTTATCCTGATGTTGATTTCTTGGTCCAGTGATAGTTAAAAAAAATAAATAAATAAACTGTGGATCCCAGATAGGTCCCCACCTCTTCACCATCAATACAGACTAGGTCTGTCATTAACACCTTGCACCATAACCTTTGTCTTCTTTTTGCTGACTGTTAGTCCAAATTCACAGCACGCACCAGCAAAGGCAGACAGTAAACATTGCATCTGCTCCTCTGAGTGGGTGGTTATTGCAGCATCATCTGCAAACAGCTGCTCACTGATAAGTTCCTTTCTTATCCTGGTTTAGGCGAGCATTGTAAATGTAAAGGCTGCCGTCAGATCAAAGAATGGATGAATATACCACCGTCCTGATCTCAAAACTGAGCGACAACAGACAAACTTGGGAAGCCAAAGCCGAGTCTACTGCACTGTTCATACATATGATTCTAGAGTCTACTGCACTGTCCATATGATTCCAGAGTCTAGTGAACTGTTCATATGATTCCAAAGTCTAGTGCACTGTACATATGATTCCAGAGTCTACTGCACTGTCCATATGATTCCAGAGTCTAGTGAACTGTCCATATGATTCCAGAGTCTAGTGAACTGTCCATATGATTCCAGAGTCTAGTGAACTGTCCATATGATTCCAGTCTAGTGCACTGTCCATATGATTCCAGAGTCTAGTGCACTGTCCATATGATTCCAGAGTCTACTGCACTGTCCATATGATTCCAGAGTCTAGTGAACTGTCCATATGATTCCAGAGTCTAGTGCACTGTTCATATGATTCCAGAGTCTAGTGAACTGTCCATATGATTCCAGAGTCTACTGCACTGTCCATATGATTCCAGAGTCTAGTGCACTGTCCATATGATTCCAGAGTCTACTGCACTGTCCATATGATCCCAGTCTACAGTACTGTTCATATGATCCCAAGAGTCTCAGTCTACAGCACTATGATCCCCATGCACTGTCCATGATCCCAGTCTACTGCACTGTCCATATGATCCCAGTCTACAGTACTGTTCATATGATCTCAGTCTACAGAACTGTTCATATGATCCCAGTCTACAGTACTGTCCATATGATCCCAGTCTACAGAACTGTTCATATGATCCCAGTCTACAGCACTGTTCATATGATCCCAGTCTACAGCACTGTTCATAACATATGATCCCAGTCTACAGCACTGTTCATAACATATGATCTCAGTCTACAGCACTGTTCATATGATCCCAGTCTACTGCACTGTCCATATGATCCCAGTCTACAGTACTGTTCATATGATCTCAGTCTACAGAACTGTTCATATGATCCCAGTCTACAGTACTGTTCATATGATCCCAGTCTACAGTACTGTTCATATGATCCCAGTCTACAGCACTGTTCATATGATCCCAGTCTACAGCACTGTTCATATGATCCCAGTCTACAGTACTGTTCATATGATCTCAGTCTACAGCACTGTTCATATGATCCCAGTCTACAGTACTGTTCATATGATCCCAGTCTACAGCACTGTTCATATGATCCCAGTCTACAGTACTGTTCATATGATCTCAGTCTACAGCACTGTTCATATGATCCCAGTCTACAGTACTGTTTATATGATCCCAGCCTATAGCACTGTTCATATGATCCCAGAGAACCTTCACCATGTCCTCTGTATCGTAAAGTAGCTCACCATCCAGAGTAAACCATAAGAAGCCACATTCATTGGCACACAATGATAGACACTCCTCCACATGTGTGTGTGTGGTGGGGGGGACACAGAGAAAACAAGCACTCACCAAGAATATATGTACTGGGGTCAAACTTGTTGTGTGGGGAATGGACCGTTGGCAGCAACCAGGTGATGACTGCACTTTTCTCATTGTACTGGTCAGACAAGAAGCCCCGCAGCTGGGCGTAATACAAGCCACCCTCGTGGTCAACTAATGACACAACATCTCCAGGCCTGATAGTACTGATCCTGTGGGGACAGACAGACAGCATCAGATCTAATAATACATACTGGTTCAGGGGATTAAGTATTCACTGTGGGATTTATGAGGCTACAGCTGCTTCTAATGCTTTTTTTCCCCCCATCCTTCTGTTTTCTCTTTTGGTGTCAAGTCAAAAAATCAAGTGCTGAGGTACTGCTCTGGTAGGTCAAGAAATGACATGTAGAGAGAGCACTCTGGTAGGTCAAGAAATGACATGTAGTGAGAGCACTCTGGTAGGTAAAGAAATGACATGTAGAGAGCACTCTGGTAGGTAAAGAAATGACATGTAGAGAGAGCACTCTGGTAGGTAGAGAAATGACATGTAGAGAGAGCACTCTGGTAGGCCAAGAAATGATGAGAAAGCACCCTGGTAGGTCAAGAATTGACATGTAGAGAGCACTCTGGTATGTCAAGAAATGACATGTAAAGAGAGCACCCTGGCAGGTCAAGAATTGACATGTACAGAGAGCACTCTGGTAGATCAAAACTGACATTAAGACAACTCAGGTAGGTCAACAGTCTGGTAGGTTAAGAAAAGACATGGTAAGGGCAGTCATAAGGTACTTAATGATTTCTGAATGTGCAGAGAGGGGAAGGAGAACGCTGTGATACCCCCTGTGAAGTTGTTGCTTTGGTACTGTGTCAGGAGGCTTTGGTACTGTGTCAGGAGGCTTTGGTACTGTGTCAGGAGGCTTTGGTACTGTGTCAGGAGGCTTTGGTACTGTGTCAGGAGGCTTTGGTACTGTGTCGGGAGGATTTGCCAACAAACAACTCCAACCTTAATGCATCCAATAAAAACATTTTAAAAACATGTTTCACAGGAACAGTATCAACATCAACCTAACACAAAACTTTAACAAACCTTATGAAACACTGACATGTGTTATGAATCACTGACAAACCTTTTGAAATGCAGACAAACCTCATGAAACACTGACAAACCTTACATAACACTGACAACTTTTATGAAATATCGAAACATTTATGAAACTTATGAGACAGACAAACTTATAAAATACTGACAAACCTTATGAAACACTGCCAAATAGTATGAGTCATTGATAAAATTATGAAAACAAAGACAAACTTTAAGAAACACAGACAAACTTCAAGAAACACAGACAAACCTTATGAAACACACTCTCTCCTGTCACAACAGTTGCCACTGAAGTCGGAGCCTTGACTGGCTGCTGCGGAGAAAGATGTGGCTGTGTTAAAGAATTGCTGGACATGTTCTGTTATGAATCACATCAATACCATGTATGCAATGGAGACTAGCACTAAGAAGCATGCCCATGGGTGATCTCTTGTAGAAGAGCCTCCAATGTGGTGGGTGAACCATGAGGGTATGCCATGATTCTCCTGAAACATGCAGTGTGCACCAAACAAGGGTACATGTCCCAGCAGGATGGGGGTAGACAGCCTGGTAAAATCACCCCACTAAAAAGGGATCCTGTCTCATTCTGCAGGGCTTTGGTACAAGGTCATACAAATATTATTACCACCGGTGGTGCAGGATGTTATCTCTTGATGAGCTGTTCACATGCCTGTTCTAAGTGAAAGGTAATGTTGGAAACATGGCGACCGGTCAACTTTATATCCCAGGACTTTACCTGGTGCTCATTAAGGCTGAGTTGACCTGATACACCAAGGTCATTTCTGAAGTAAGTCCAGCTGTGACAGGACATGAACCCATACCTTTGGGTCCACAGGTGAGCATCCAGCAGCTTCACCACTGCAGCTTCCATCTGGTCTTAGTGTCTGCCCTCAATCTAGAGCCACAGTTAAGTTACCAAGGTGCTGGATGCAGAAATGCTGTTCAACCTATGATATTAACTGCATTTGTTGATATCTCAGTGGTGACTAAGTCTACACAAACTGTTCAACAGTAAACAACTCAACTAAAAGCTGAGCCACAAACTGTTCAACAGTAAACAACTCAACTAAAAGGTGAGCCACAAACTGTTCAACAGTAAACAACTCACTAAAAGCTGAGCCACAAACTGTTCAACAGTAAACAACTCAACTAAAAGCTGAGCCACACACCGTTCAACAGTAAACAACTCAACTAAAAGCTGAGCCACAAACTGTTCAACAGTAAACAACTCAACTAAAAGCTGAGCCACAAACTGTTCAACAGTAAACAACTCAACTAAAAGCTGAGCCACAAACTGTTCAACAGTAAACAACTCACTAAAAGCTGAGCCACAAACTGTTCAACAGTAAACAACTCAACTAAAAGCTGAGCCACACACCGTTCAACAGTAAACAACTCAACTAAAAGCTGAGCCACAAACTGTTCAACAGTAATCAACTCAACTAAAAGCTGAGCCACAAACTGTTCAACAGTTATCAACTCAACTAAAAGCTGAGCCACAAACAAAATAATATTCACATTTCCTGGTGTCAGTCCACCAGAAACAGCCAGACTTTGGCAGTGATCATGTGTGTTGTTTGAGCTGACTAAAAGTGCGGGGAGCATAACTATGACAAGTCATGCATGGTGATTTGTTTAATATGACAAAGACTTTGGAAGCAACAGAAATGTGGTTTCTGAGATGAATGGCATGAATACATTGGACGGAGAGAGTAACTAACAATGATTGTTTAAAAGAAGCTAATGAAAGTAGATCTCTATATACAACAATAAGAAGGAGACAGACTCTGTTCTTTGGCCAAATAATGAGAAGAGAGACACTGGAGAACATCATAACAACTGGAAAGATCAGTGAGAAGGGGTAGAGGCTGACCAAGAGAGATGATGCTGAATGGGCTGAAAAGATGGCATGCAGGAATATCCTCAAGAGAGCTGTTCCAGGCAACCAGGGATCGTGATCTGTGGAGACACATAAGCATCTATGGCAGTTAGCAGGGTACATGATTATGATGACAAATGAGACAAACTGTCTAAGCCTGATGAGGACACTGGCAGTCGGTGGTGATGATCAACAATGTGTGTATCAGTTGTTTAATAAATAAAATACATTTGTTTAAGACTACTTAGACAACTGAAAGTGTTTTATTATATAATGTACAGGTTTTAATGGATAATACATGCAAATCTGGTAATCTTAGTTTCAGCTTCATAGCAAAGAGGTCACGCAATAGTTGCTCCGCTCCTGTGCCAACAAAAAACACACAAAATGTTTATCTCTCTTGTGGAGAGATTGACAGACTGCTGTCTCAGCATATGCACTAGCATACAGTAGCCATTCGAAGTGCTAACACAAACAGTCCGACATCAGAAATGCAGTTCACCATGGATGGTAGCAGAAGTCACCAACAGATCAGCAGTTGCACACGCAATCAATTTTAATCAAACAATGGCACCATCAATATTGCAACCACAGGCATCGCATCATTTTCTGAATCTACAATTCACACCACCACGCTGGTCAGTCTAAAAACATTCCAAATTAAATCCGCAGCTCACGTGCAACAGCTGCCGTCTGGCAAAAGCCAAAATTTGCCAGGGCTCAAAACAGTGGCCGTGCCTAGCGTCCATTTTGACACGAAACCATGCAAACGGTTTCAGTATACTGTACACAATATAGAGTATGATGACTAAATCAAACTATCATTACAGTCATTTAACTAATTTATTAAACTGCTTGCTTGGACAGACTGACTCACAGTGCAGAGTGTATTTTGTATTCTGAATACATTTTCTTACGGAAATTGACTAATAAGAAGCAAATGATTATTATTAATGTTGGTTCCAACAGAAACAATTTAAGCACACACTAATAGTGTTACTGACTGAAGTTAGTTCCAACAGAAACAATTTAAGCACATACCCATAGTGTTACTGACTGAAGTTAGTTCCAACAGAAACAATTTAAGCACATACCCATAGTGTTACTGATTGACGTTAGTTACAACAGAAATAACTTTGCTTAGTCTAAGCAAACGACGCTGACTGACTCACATTTTTCTTGAAAATAACCCGTCGTCCTTTCCCTTTGGCGGACAAGGTTTTACTGGAGGCCTGGGCTGACTTCTTTGTCGGCTTAATTCTGGCGCTCTTGCGTAAAACTGGAGCTCCGTTACTGCTGGCTGCCGTCGTCGTTACAGTAGAACTACTGCTCTTGAGACCACCGTTGCTCTTCACGCTGGTCGCAGGTTCAGGTTTGGGAGCTGGAGGCGACGCCAAAGACGTGCCGTTAACTTGCTTCAGCCCGCAGGAATTACACAGCACCTCACCTCGACAGCTTTTCCTCCAGATGGGCGATGAGGTGATCTTGCAAGAAGAACACACCGGCTTGATGCCGAACGGCATGTTTCAGAGCTACGAGCCAACGATGAGGTGGAGAGATCAAGAGTGACAGAATTTCATGCTGGTCTCAGGAAACTGAGAGAAAGTGCAATCGAACTTCTGGCGAAAAACATCAACCGGCGCCATCTTGTCAGGGGCACACCACTCTCCTGCTTCAGTAGGTAAATCATCATCACCATCAGGGTTGCCAGATTAAAAAACTTTATTTTATGCCAAACCATTACAAAAAATATGCCAGAAAAATGCCAAATAAAGTATAACATTGTACTCACTTCACATCAAAAGCTCTAGATTGAATTCTTTACTGTCATCCTCACTGGAACCAGTGGAAGATACAACGTAAAATCTTTAACCATTTTCTCAGATGGGATTAAGTCTTTGCAACTCATCTATAATGATGAACTTTTTCTTGTTCCGAAAAGCATCAGTAAGGTCATCCTTAAGTGCAGGCGATATAACGTTTTTTCTAATTTTTATTAGGCATGAACATTGCGTTCTATGCCACTGTGTGTGCTCCAATGTACTCCCCCGACTACGCGCTCTCAAGATTTCACTTAGATGATCATTTGTGCTTATTGCACAATGGCAGGTCATGCATACAGCACGTTGCAACTCTGCTGCCTTTAACTTTATCATTACTTTGCCTAGGAGTCATTGTTGTAATAAGCTGTGACTGGCTTTTTGACGGAGTTTTCATCCGGTGCATAAGTGCACTGACACAGTTTACAGTATGCTGCCTCTATTTTCATCTGAAGATCTTTTGAGCCGTGGGTATCTTTTTTTCCAGTATCTATTATACTTGCAATGTTATAAGATGCTTTCCATTTTTTGAATGACGTGGCCTTGGTAGAAGTAATAAAATATATCACAGATAGAACTAGGTCTATATCCTCTCTATTTTCTGTCCTCAAGTAGTTTCTGAACAGTCCGAATCACTTGATATCAGTGGTGGGTTTTGGTTTTATATCCCGCATTTATTCTAATAGATCAACATAAATTACAGAGGGCCTTGGCTTATCGAAGTCACGATCCATTTAAGAAGACAACAAATACAACAAGAAATGGCGCGAATCTCCGTTAGTCCGTACCAGGACATCACAACAAAGTCAAACTGAAATAAAGATGTTAACTGCAGGTCTATATTGCCAGGAAAAACCCAAATATGCCAAAATATCCCAGTTTAGTATCTTATGCCAGTTAAATTTCAAATATGCCAATATGGCAACCCTGATCACCATCAATTGCCCTGCCGACTAGCTGCGTGTATGACGAAAGGCTGTCAAGAATCGCCCCTTATTGCCCTCCACTATCTCTGTTTCAACAGATTTTTGGAGTCGTCACAACATGTTCCAGTTTTCTTCTTCTTATAACATAAATAGAAGGGGGAAAAAAAAACGGTCCCTTTCTGATATTTGTGATGTTATCTTCGAACCATCGCCTCTTTGAAAACATTTTTGTTGCTCTTTTGTGTTGTCCAATGAATTCTAAGAAAAGATATAAACCTGAACGAAAAGTATATTAGCAAGCTTTACAATATAACAAATACAAACAAAACGTGAACGTTGCAGCTATTGAACCTTCATCAGCACACACAAAATAAACAATACTACATAGATGAAAAAAAATCACATAGCTGGTATCACGATGCGGCCAGGTCGGTTGTTATTCAGCACGGCTTGACTTGATATTGAAAAAAAAAAAAAATAATAAATTGGGACTCTTCAAAATGACCTGAGGGCCTTCTTTATAATTGAGTCCGTTGTTTGTTTGCGGTTTTCAAATGACTATCTTGATGCGGCGTGTTGGTACGCCTGACCATTCCTTGTTGGTGAGTTTCTTATGCACTGGCTGTTTGGGAGGGGACATCAAAAGGTCCTGAAAAAGACAATTAGAAATTGCCTGGATCGGTTGGATCGGGAGTGGGTGGGAGTAGTCCGGTGGTGGATTAGCATGTCGGCTGGTTTGGCGTTTATGGGTGTTTTCGGTCTGGTGGGCTGTTTTCCTGGCGGTCTGGGCGGATACTCTTCCTTCAAGGTGTCGGCTAGAAGTCGGGCATGTTTATCTGGCTTGCTATTAAGGGCTTGTTAGGTAGCTGGGTCTTTTTCTTCAGTCTGCTTGTGGGTTCTTCTAAGCTTTGGTAGTCCCCTGTGGCTTGGATGCGGCAGGGGTAGATGAAGTCAGTGGTTTGGGAGTGGCGGGGGTCGCTGGCGGTGTTTTGATTGGTGACTTTAGGCTTTCGGGCAGCTCCTCAATGGGGTGTCTGGGTGGAGGATTCTCTGCTCTTCAAAGGTTGTACCTTGTGATTTTTAGATCTTTGTCCAGTCTTCTATGCTTTCTTCTCGCTTGTGGTACCATTGTTCCCTGCAACGTCTCCGCTGAATAACAAGATCCCTCTGCGCTTTGATTTCAGCCTGCCTGGTAGCCTCCTATTGGGCTTTCTCTTTCTCTTTGCGTGCCTCCTTTCGGGTGTTTTCTCTCTCCTCGCATGTTTCTCGTCTCGGTCACTTCAAGTCACAGTCCCTCGTTGGTCACCTCTAGATTTCTCACTTTCGCTGTGAGATCCTGCTGGTTGTTTTATGGTTTTTTGGAGTCTGCTCTGTTCTTCCTCAGCTGACTTCTCCTTGTGGGACTGAATACAGGACAGCACAGCCTTGATATCTGATTTGAACTGGGTCATGTCAGCTACTTCGGCCTCCATGTGTTTCTGGATTTTGAGTGTCTCTTGAAACAGGCTATGCAATCGTATCATCTCATCTCTATCGTCGGCTCGTTTGACTTCAAATGCTGCTTTGTCTCTTCTGAGTGATTTAATTTCTGCTTTCATTTGTGCTATTTCGTTTTGAAGCTTTGTCGTATCTGTTCCAGCGATGTGTGGATTGGTTGTTCTGGACATGCCTTGTTACAGCGTGAGCACTGGAAAATTTCTGGTAGAAGGCTCCAGGTTGCTGCTGCTTCTGTTGGTTGATGGCGGGTGCCGGTAGTTCTTGGTAGTATACTGTGGCTGTGGCTGCTATGGTGACTGGTAGCGCCTGGTCTGATGAAGGTGCCTCGACAGGGGCTTCGTCTATAGTGGGCAGCGTTCGGGTGGGCGAGGCTGACGTCTCT